TGTTAGTAAAGTTGTAAATCTTGTCATTCTCAACTGAAAGGATTGTTAATTTGGCTTAAATTACCAAGATAGGTTTTTTTGGAGGGGGGTTTGGATCCTTAAAACTTTGCATCGAGTTTTTTGAGTTCATTTTGATAATTACAAGCTCTTATCTTTGATAACATTGGGTTGAAATCCTGTGAGTACATTTATTCTGATGACTGGCTTTCCCAGAACATATGCAATTAGAAAAAATGCTTTGGTCCTTAGTTAATGTTCATTGTAAACTAACATGAATGTACTTTTGACACGGATTGTTAATTGGTTTGTTTGCAAGGAGTCAGAGAACCAACTTGTAGAGCTTCTTTCTGTAAAAGAGTATACTTTCTCGTTTGCTAATGATCAGATCTCAAAATGATGGCAGCTTCTGTATAATTAGAAAGATTAAAAGATTATTCTAATATGTTTGATATGTAGATGCTAATATAGTAGGTCACCTACAGAGGGAGTTTTCATGGCACCAAAAAAATCTTAAGCATCGTTTGAATGTTATTCCACACTGATTAATTTTATTTATTTTTTAAATTTTATTTGTTTATCTACTTATTTATTTTTTGTCGGTTGTGGGGCTTGAACTCTGGGCCTGTGCACTGTCCCTCAGCTCTTCAGCTCAAGGCTAGCGCTCTACCACTTGAGCCACAGCGCCACTTCCTGCTTTTTTTTTTTCCTGCTTATGTGGTGCTGAGGAATTGAACCAAGGGCCTCATGCATGTGAGGCAAGCGTTTTACCACTGAGCCAGCCCCCCAGGCCCCCCTTTGTTTTAGCCAGTCCTGAGGGTTGAACTCAGGGCCTGGACACTGTTAATGAGCTTCTTTACCACTTGAGCCACAGCACCATTTCTAGTTTTTTCTATTTATGTGGTACTGAGGAATGGAACCCAGGGCTTCATGCATGCTAGGAAAGCACTCTACCACTGAGCCACATTCCCGGCCCCAATTTTATTTTATTATTTATTATTATTTTTATCTTTTGTCGGTTGTGGGGCCTGAACTCTGGGCCTGGGCACTGTCCCTCAGCTGTTCAGCTCAAGTGCTCTACACTTCAGCCACAGCGCCACTTCCAGCTTTTTCTGTTTATGTGGTGCTGAGGAATCGAACCCAGGGCCTCATGCATGCAAGGCAAGCACTCTACCACTGAGCCACCTTCCCAGCCCCTAATTATTTTTCCAATTATTAACTAGTTGTACAAAGAGGTTACAATTTTATAAGTCAGATTATGAATACAATGCATCTTGATTAGTGTCACCCCTTCTGTTGTTCCCTCTATTCTTCCCTGTCATTCCTACCTTCAAGTTACAATTGTGAGCTTTTCTGTCTTGGTTGGTCTTGAATCAAAACCTTCCAGATCTCAGCTCCTGAGTAGCTAGAGTTACAGAATTGAAGCTACCAGGACCTGGCTCACATCAGTTCATTTCTGAACACCTTTGTTAAAAGTACGAGCAAACAAAGCTCTCATTATTATAAAGTTCTTGTTAACCTGCCATAGATTGTTAAAAAGTGATGTAGTTTCTTTGTACTACATTGTGTTCCAAATAAGTAAACATTTAACTTTACCTTTATTGATCTAAAGACAAAAAAAGTCAAACTTAAAAGGATAACCTACTCTAGATCTTGGCTAAAAGTGAAAGGATCTTGGTCCAGGGCCAGTGAGGGCAGAAAAGTTTGGGAAACCCAACCTCAAAAATAACGAGCAATGGCCGAGCACCTGTGGCTCACGCCTGTAATCCTAGTTACTCAGGAGGCTGAGATCTGAGAATCGCAGTTCAAAGCTAGCCCGGGCAGGAAAAACCATGAGACTCCTATCTCCAATAAACCACTAGAAAACCGGAAGTGGTGCTGTAGCTCAAGTGGTAGAGCACTAGCCTTGAGCTGAAGAGCTGAGGGACAGCGCCCAGGTCCAGAGTTCAAGCCCCATGTCCGACCAAAAACCAGCAATGGGCTGGGAATCTAGCTTAGCTGTAGAGCGCTTGCTTTGCACTCATGAAGCCCTGGGTTTGATTCCTCAGTACCACATAAACAGAAAAAAATGCCAGAAGTGGTGCTGTGGCTCAAGTGGTAGAGCGCTAGCTTTGAGCACAGAGAGGTGCAAGGACAGTGCCCTGAGTACAAGCTCCAGGACCAGCAAACAACAACAACACAGCAAAAAAATTGCAAGGAATTGCTCAAGTGTCAGAGCACCAGCTAAGCAAGCAAACCCTGGTACTAATATTGCCAAACATCCCATCCCTATGATGGAGTTTTTGGTTTGTTTTTTTTTCTCGAGTCAGGGTCTTGAGTCAGTGGCTTAGAACTGGCAATCCTCCTGCCTTTAGATCCCAGGTGTCCTATTTTGGAGGATATTTAACAAATGAAATCTAGCATGTCATTAACTGCCATTTAAAGATTAGCTAAATTTAGCTAAGTTCACTGGACACTTCAGAACTACCTTTGATTGCTGTAAATAGTACTGTCACTTATTTTTCTTTAATTTATTTTGGTATAGTGAGTAGTTTGGTACTAATTTGTAGTCTGCTTTGTAACTCAGCTTTTTTTCTGTTGACTGGTGATTGACTCTAGGACCTTGAGCAAGTGTTCCTGCTCCTGTTCCTTTGACTATGTGCTGTGGCTTTAAGTCAGAGCCTCATGCTCTCACCTGGATTTCTTGCTTATGGCACTGTATCACTTAAGCCATGCTTCTAGCCTAACTTTTTGCTGGTTATTTTGTGTTGGCTGGCTCTAAACTCTGAGCCTTCAGAGCCTAGCCTCTTATAGCTAGGATTACAAGTGTGAGCCATTGGTGCTATTGATGCTGGAGATTGAACTTGGACCTTATGCTCTACCACTTGAGCCACAACCCCTCACTGCCGTGAACCCAGGTCTTCAGGCATTCTAAGCACATGTTCCACTACAATGTAACTGTCATATCTTCCTTAATAATGCTACAGTTAATTGTGTGCGTGCATTTTATTGGTGCTAGCTCAATTTTGTTAAAGAATAGTTCTCTCCTCTCTCTGCATTCGCCCCACCCCCCAGTGCCAATCCTGGATCTTGAACTCAGGGTCTGGGCACTGTCTTTGAGCTTTTTTTTTCTCTCTTTTTTATGAGTGATGGGTCTTGATTCAGGGCCTGGGTACCATCCCTGAGCTTTTTTGCTCAAGGCCAGAGCTCTAGCAGTTGAGCCACAGCACCACTTCTGGTTTTCTGGTGGTTTATCGAAGATAAGAAGCTCCTGGGAGCCGGGCGCTGGTGGCTCACGCCTGTAATCCTAGCTACTCAGGAGGCTGAGATCTGAGGATCGCGGTTCAAAGCCAGCCCGGGCAGGAGAGACCGTGAGACTCCTATCTCCAATAAAAACCACCAGAAAACCGGAAGTGGCGCTGTAGCTCAAGTGGTAGAGCGCTCGCATTGAGCTGAAGAGCTGAGGGACAGCGCCCAGGCCCAGAGTTCAAGTCCCACGGCCGACAAAAAAAAAAAAAAAAAAAAAAAAAAGAAGCTCCTGGGGACTTTTTTGCCTAGGCTGGCTTCTAACCATGATCCTAAGATCGCTAGAGTAGCTAGGATTACAGGCATGAGCCACTACTAGTGTGGCACTTGGGCTCTTTTTGTGTTTAATTGGGGATTAGGGTCTCATGGACTTTCTTGCCCAGTCTTTGAATCAGGATCTTCAGAACTCAGCCTTCTGAGTAGTTAGAATTGCAGGTGTGAACAACTGACGTGGCTAGAATAATTTCTAGGTATTAAATGACTTCTCATTCTCATATTCTGTAACATTATTTACTAAATAATATATATTAGATTTTATTTAAAATGTATATGTAAATAAAAATCTCCTCTAATCTTCCCATGTCATCAAGTAGTGATCATACTAAAGTGTTGATTGCTTTTTCTTTTTTTCAATTGTGTCAGATATTAAGATACACGTAATAGGGCTGGGAATGTGGCTTAGTGGCAGAGTGCTTGCATAGCATGCATGAAGCCCTGGGTTCCATTCCTCAGTACCACATCAACACAAAAAGCCAGAAGTGGTACTGTGGCTCAAGTGGTAGAGTGCTAGCCTTGAGCAAAAGCAGCTCAGTGACACTGCCAAGGCCCTGAGTTCAAGCCCCAGAACTGGCCAAAAACAAAAACCCAAAAAACCCTACACATAATGTAAAATTTACCATTATAAGCATTTTAAGTGTCCAAAGCAGGGAGGCTCTGAGTCTGTTCACATTGCTCTTCAAACATAGCAACCATAGCCACTGTCCATTTCCAGAGTAAGTATTTCATACCCCAATTGAAACTTGTGAAATTTCATACCTTCAAGTATGCCCATGTTGTGGGTAGTTACACATGTAGTACTGGTGTTTGATCTAGGGTCTTGTACTTGTAGGTCAGGCACTCTGATCCCTGAGCAGTTGTTTCAAGTTTCCTCTCTACTTAGGTAACAATTTATACATATTTTTTTGCTTAATTGATCATTCCCTCATGACATCATGATCCCTTATGATCATTCCCTCATCCCACTATAATGGGATTCTCTAGAGAATAGAGTGATTCTAAAAATGTGTTTGAGAGTAGGATTTTGAATTCTTCCTGGCTTTTTCACTCTAGGCTGGCGTTCTACCTCTTGAGCCACACTTCCACTTCTATCTTGGGCTAGCTTTCAACTGCAATCCTCAGATCTCAACCTCCTGATTACCTAGTATTACAGGTGTGAGCCACCAGCTCCTGGCCCCATCAACTTTTTGACATTTCAGCAGCGGATTAGGCCCAGTGATATTGCTGGGCCAGGGAAGGGAGTGGTGTGTCTGGATATAGCTAGCATTCATTAGGGAAGGGAATGGTACATTTTCTGCTTACTGATGTGGTGGACACAGATTGATAAGCTACCTGTTTTAAATTATTTTGACTGGTTAAGAGATAGGTGTACATAAACTTAACTGTAATAATTCTGAGTGTCAATATAAATTCTCCTAATAAGAGCTCTTGGTCTCTTCTAGGACTGGCAGCCACCATTTGCATGTGATGTTGATAAACTTCACTTTACTCCACGTATCCAGAGGCTGAATGAATTGGAGGTAATGCCCTTGCTGGGGTTCTGTTGTCCGTGTTCTAGAAGCTTTCTCTTGGAAGACACTTTATCACCAATCTGATTTTTTTTTTTGTCAGTTGTGGGGCTTGAACTCTGGGCCTGAACACTGTCCATGAGCTCTTCAGCTCAAGGCAAGTGCTCTACCACTTGAGCCACAGTGCCACTTTCGGTTTCCTGGTGGTTTTTTGGAGATAAGAATCTCACAAACTTTCCTGCCTTGGCTGGCTTTGAACCATGATCCTCAGATCTCAGCCTCCTGAGTAGCTAGAATTACAGGCAAGAACCACCAGCGCCCGGCACCAATCTGATTTTAGTGAGAAAACAGGGCTGATAACTAACCATGATGAAACAGTGGTAGTAAAACCATTGGAGAACACATTTATTAAAAACTCTGTTTTTTGGCCTATTAGTTGATATATCTAAATCATTCTACATTTAGATATTAATAACTAGAATGTAGGTTTTGCGGAGATTCTACTTAAAAAATCATACAATAGATTGTCAGCCTTCATATTCTTTAAGTACATAACTTAGATTTTAATAATACATTTAGTTTCCCAAGGAAGAATAAAGAATACAGGAGTCCCACACAGAAAGCTTAAAATGTAGGGTAGATAAAAACTTGGGGGTGTTGATAACGTAGGGTCAAGATAACACTATTTATAAATCTGATCAGATTTTAATAATGTGTGTTTAATAATTGTGTGTTTCTACACCGAACCAAAGGATTTTTTTGTTGTTGTTGGTTGTATGGCTTGAACTCATGGCCTAGGTACTGTCCCTGAGCTTTTTCGCTCAAGCCTAGTGCTCTACCACTTTGAGCCACAGCGCCACTTCTGGTTTTCTGCTAGTTATTTGGAGATAAGAGTCTCATGGAGTTTTCTACCCCACTGGCTTCAAACCACAATCCTCAGCCTTCTGAGCAGTTAGGATTACAGGTGTGAGTGAACCACCAGTGCCCATGTTGAATCAAATATTTTTCAGTGAAATAGTACAAATGGAATTCTGTAGACACATTAATGATCACATTTAATATTTATATTTTTAGGTCCTTTATAGTGTATGTTTAAATTTCAAGTTAACTTGAAAATAGCAGATATACACTAGAGTTCTTGTATATGGTAGTGAACATCTAAATATTGATCTAAACATTGATCTTTTGGTCTAGGGTGCAAGACAAAATTCTTCAAACAACCTGGCTTAATATTTTATCAGGATAGGAAGGAAAAATGGCCCATGGAGAATAGTCAGGGCTTGTTAAGAATATGTAGGCATACCATTGCAAGTCTGTTTTTAAATTTGTCTGAGGAAATAAGAAAATTTCTACTGTGAAGGTCCTTTCAACCATCCAGCTGCAAGGAGATGTAACATAATACACAGAAGCTTTTTGTCATAGTCTTAAGCAGTACCACAAAGTTATGCAGTTCTAAATGTTGTGATAAGGCTTGCTGAGCATTTAACTCTGCCTGGTACTTGAATATATTTGTTAATATATGATTACTTATATACTTTTGACTATTTCCTCCATTTTATTTAGAAAGTGGCTTTGTATTTAAATATTCTAAGAATGATCTCTACTTGAGAGTATAGGCAGGAGCTTTAAAAGAATCTGGGTACATGCCACATTCAGCTGCATATTCCTGTAGTCTCAGCTACTTGGGAGGCTGAGTGGGGGGATTGAGTCTGGCAGAGCAAGACCAACCTAGACTCTGTCACAGAAGAAAAGAAAAAGAAAGAGTTGTTGGTTAAAATGTAGTTCTTTGTCATTTAGGCTCAAACTCGTGTAAAGTTGAATTTCCTGGACCAGATTGCAAAGTACTGGGAGTTACAGGGGAGCACTCTGAAAATTCCGCATGTAGAGAGGAAGATCTTGGACCTGTTCCAGCTAAATAAGGTAAAAGACTAATGACCATTGTACTCATTGAATACTGTTCTGACAGCACATTTGCTCTTTTTTGTCTTAATGCTTGCTGTCTGAAATACATAAAATGAGATTTTCCAATTGTGTTGAGCAATGCAGATGAAGTTCTCCCTATCATCTAGAGACCTTACAGAATATTTTTCCTGCCATCTGTTTTTGGTTTGTTTTGGACTAGTCCTGGGGTTTGAACTCAGGGCCTTGGGCATTGTCCTGAGTGCTCAAGTCTAGCACTCTACAACTTGCTGGTTAATTAGAGATAAAAATCTCACAGTAAGCCAGGAGCCGGTGGCTCACGCCTGTAATCCTAGCTACTCAGGAGACTGAGATCTGAGGATCGTGGTTCAAAGCCAGCCCTAGCAGGAAAGTCCATGAGACTCTTATCTCCAATAAACCACTAGAAAACTGGAAGTGGTGCTGTCGCTCAAGCGGTAGAGCACTGAAGAGCTGAGGGACAGCGCCCAGGCCCAGAGTTCAAGCCCTACGACCGACACAAAACAAAAAAAACAAAAAACAAAAAACACAAAAAACAACTCACAGTAATGAATTTAGAATGGGTTTGACATGAAATGTAGTCATTACCTTATGTATGTAACTATAACCCCTCTACACAGCACTCTCACAATAAAATAAATTACACACACAAATCTCATGGACTTTTCCTGCCCGGGCTGGCTTTGAACTGCAATCTTCAGATCTCAGCCTTCTGAATAACTTGGATTACAGGTGTGAGCCACTGGCACCCAGCTCTGTCACTTGTTTGTTTGTTTGTTTTAAAATCATTTTAAAACTTCACAGTAATTCTGTGAAGCATTCCTTCCATTTTAGGTCAGATAAAGAAAAACAAAACAGATTTTTTTTTTAAAGTTGATAAAGCTGAGAAGTCTGAGGTTTTCCCTGATTCTTAAGACTTCATTATTTTCAGCAAACATAGCATCAAACTTTCTACCCCTTTGTTTATGGAAATCTTTGTAGTCATAGGGTAGGATTAAGGTAGTAGAGACTTAGTTGTTAACCTGGTTTTACTAAGGTGACTGCTTTGGGGAATTGAGAAATAGCCTTGTCAAGGACAAAGTGCTTATAGAGCATGCTGTCAAAAGTGCTTTTAGTAGGGCAAAACTGTGTAAGGGATGGCTTTATGCAAAAAGAAATGCACTCATTACTTAAGTAACTAGCTACTCTGTACATCATCTTTATAATAACAATAAAAACAAAAATAAAGCAATGTTAAAGTTTCCAACTTCACATTAATAGCTTATGTTTTTCTTAAGATAACCACATCTAGGAATAGTTTGATCTTGGAGTAATACTTAATACTTAAGTGTGAAGTGTTAGAAATGGTTTCCTTGATGTGTTTCTAAACATTCCTTTTTGTTATTTTCACAGTTAGTTGCAGAAGAAGGTGGATTTGCAGTTGTTTGCAAGGATAGAAAGTGGACCAAAATTGCCACCAAGATGGGGTTTGCTCCTGGCAAAGCTGTGGGCTCACACATCAGAGGACATTATGAGCGAATCCTTAACCCCTACAACTTATTCCTATCTGGAGACAGTTTGAGGGTGAGCACCATTGCTGCGTTTGTTCATCCTTTGTCCCTCCGTTTCTGTGCCTCTCTTTTTACACCCCCAAAGACACCAATGAGCTACAGAACAAAAAGGAAAAAAGAACGCAAAGAACAAACACCTTGTGAATCATTTCCTGGAGTTCATGTTGATAAGTATTACTTATTTTGTATGATCAGATGAGTGTATGATCAGATGATAGCTGAGAAAAATGTGCTATTCAGAAAGTTGTGTGTGTGTGTGTGTGTGTGTGTGTGTGTGTGTGTGTGTGTTTTGCAGTGCTGGAATCAAACCTAGACCCTCACACTTGGACTAATAATTAGGTGTTTTACCACTGAACTACATTCCCACCCCACAAGTTTTCTATTTGTTTTTTTAATTTTTCAATTTCAATTTTAATTTTTTTTTCCAGTCCTGGGGCTTGAACTCAAGGCCTGGGCACTGTCCCTGAGCTTCTTTTGCTCAAGGCTAGCACCCTACCACTTGAGCCACAGAGCCACTTCCAGCTTTTTTGTTTATATAGTACTGAGGAATTGAACCCAGGGCCTCATACATGCTAAACAAGCATTCTGCCACTAAGCCACATTCCTAGCCCTCTTATTTGTTGTTGTTGTTGTTGGTTATGGGGCCTGAACGCTGGGCCTGGGCGCTGTCCCTCAGCTCTTTAGCTCAAGGCTAGCCCTCTACCACTTGAGCCACAGTGCCACGTCTGGCTTTTTTTTTCTATTTATCAAACTCAGGGCCTCATGCATGCAAGGCAAACACTCTACCACTGAGCCACCTTCCCAGCCCCCTCTATTTGTTTTTAATGTACAATATTCAGATTGACTCAAATGGTAGAGTGTCTGCCTAGCAAATTGAAGAGTGCATTAATGTGTTGCCTGTGAATCCACTAGAACACTCCAGGCAGAACCTTTGTGTCTCTGTCTTTGTGTTTTTGTTGGTCATGGGGCTTGAACTCTGGGCCTGGGCGCTGTCCCTCAGCTCTTCAGCTCAAGGCTGTGGGCAGGTGGCTTCAGTTCCTCCCTATGTGGAATCTTTGCACAAGCCTACCTCATTAGTAGCGGCACTCCTGGAAAGAGTGACCCAAATGCTGCTCTGCCTTTGAGGACCCCGCCTGCCATGCATAGCAGCTTCCACTGTGATTTGTTCTTTTTTTTTTTTGGTCAGTTGTGGGGCTTGAACTTGGTCTGGGCGCTGTCCCTCAGCTCTTCAGCTCAATGCTAGCGCTCTACCACTTGGGCCACACGCCACATCTGGTTTTCTGGCGGTTTATTGGAGATAAGATTTTCATAGTTTTTCCTGCCCAGGCTGACTTTGAACCACAATCCTCAGATCTCAGCCTCCTGAGTAGCCACCGGCGCCCTTCATAGGCATATGCCAACATGAGACCTTTGCCTCTGTTTTATAATCAATCTGATACTGTTGCCCATATAGGTTAATTTCTGTCCTTGAACTCTTCCTAAGTTGAGGAGGTTACAGTGAATAAGGGGAGAGTCTTAACCTGCTCTGTGAGTTGCAGTATTTTAGAAACATGCTATCTATATTGTTAGAGAGCCAGTGATTATGCCTGTAATCCCAGCTACAGAAGGGTTGCAGTGCTAGGCCAGTCTGGGGAAAATAAATCATGAGACCCTACCTAAAATATCAGTGAAGGCAAAAAACTGGAGCTGTGACACAATGGTAGAGTGTCTGCCTGCTTGTCTTGTAAGCACAGGTTCTGAGTTCAAATTCCAAGATCACCGTTCCCCCCACCCCCCCCAAAAGCAGTCAAACATTTATACAGAAAATAATTTGAAAAGACTAGATATTTAAAGATGACTGAGAAAGGGAATAATTTCAAAATTCATTGTTGTAATATATGAAGATGACATAAGGGACTTCAAGGAAAGCTGCAGGGTTTTAGGAGGGAGAGAAAAGGCAATAGAGAAAGTTTCTGAGAAAAACATATGCACATCTGAAATATATGTAATTGTCTTTTCAAGTCTTGGTACAATTAAAACATATTTAAGAAAAATATCAGGAAAGAAAACAGCTCTTTTAGGGAGTTATTAGAGGGAGTTATACTCTTTGGAGCCCTGGGAGCTAATGAGCAGGGGAGGAGGGTACATATGATCATAGTGGTTTAATCTCCATGTGTGAAAGTATAACAATGAAACCTGTTGAAGATTGTTTTAAGGAGGAGGGGTGGAGGGTTGAGAAGAGAGGGCTTGATGGGGGGATACATTGTATACATGTACGGAAATGTAACTGAAACTTCTCCCCACTCCATATGTGTGCTAATTTTATACCCTTTGCAAACATTGTGTCTAAAACACAGATAAATATTTGTTAAAGGACCTTACTATATGTGAGGTATATTGTAGACACTGGGGCAGATTCACTGGAGAAAATATGGTGACAACAAAATCCCCCTAATCCTAGTAACCTGCCATTTCTCTCAAAGCTATTTAGCGCACCCATAATGAGCTGTCAGGGTACTCCTCAAAAACAGTGTGGCGGGGCTGAGAAGGTGGCTCAGTGGTAGAGCGCTTGCCTTGCATGCCTGAGGCCCTGGGTTCGATTCCTCAGCACCACATAAGCAAAAAGAAAAAAGCCGGAAGTGGCGCTGTGGCTCAAGTGGTAGAGCGCTAGCCTTGAGCTGAAAAGCTGAGGGACAGCGCCCAGGCCCAGAGTTCAGGCCCCACGACCGGACCAAAAAAAAAAAAAACAAACAAAAAACAAAAAAAACAGTGTGGTGTCCCTGATCCCCACCCCAATTTAACTACAAAAAAATTGCTGTCATTGAAAGTCTGAAGACATAGTTTTCAATGACTGTGGCACTGCCTTTTTATAGCCAGACCTTGTTTGATGTCTTCGGATGTTGGAACTTCAGGTTGTATTCCCCACCTCTACTTACTTGTGGTGCTGGGGGTGGAACCACCCAGGACCTTTTACCTCCTGAAATAACAGCATATCTGGCTACAGATCAGAAGACATACTGTACTACTGAGCTATATGCCAAACCTCTACCCACATCTGACCTTTGAAGTTAGTTTTTAGGGTAAAGGAGAGTAGAAAACATATAGTTAAAAAATACAGAATGCTGGTCGAGCCCTGGTGTACTGCAGAGGGACCCCGGGCTGCAGCCTTGTGTCAGTCTATTTTGTAAAGTCTTAAGGAACCTCTGGGATGGTGTAATTAAGGTGTGATCCTATAGATCACCTCTCTGTCCCAATTTCTCAAGTAAAGGTTAAGAGTAGAGTTTGCATATGATACCACTCAGGCATGTGTAGTTGTGATGGAGAACAAAACAAGCTCTTCATTTATATTGTAAAATGCTGCTGAGTTGGTCTCTTACCCTAGGGCTCTAAAGCCCTTTCAGAACCAACTGCAGATGGTGGAGCCATGGAGACTTGGGGAAACAAGGCCTGTGTGTGCTAGGCAAGCCCAGTGCTACCTCTTGCTCAGCCAAAGGTTGTTAATTGCTATGTTTAATGCCAAGTATACATGATGTAACATATCTCAGGAGGTTACATTTGAAACTCACCTACCATTCTTTCTTCTGTTTTCTTTTCCCTTCTCTTTACATGTTTACACCAGTCTAGGGTGCAGTTCTCTTCAGTAGCTGGGATTATAGGCATGAGCCTCTGTACTGACTTCTGAGATTCATTTCTTAAGAAAGAAAACTCATCTGTACAATTGTGTTTTATTGCAGTGTCTGCAGAAGCCCAATTTGAGCACAGACACCAAGGACAAGGAATACAAGCCCCATGATATTCCCCAGAGGCAGTCTGTGCAGCCCTCGGAAACCTGTCCTCCCGCCCGACGAGCAAAACGCATGAGAGCAGAGGTGAGACTGATTCCAACGAACTGGAGAGTTGCAGCATTGTCTAGCACTGCTTTCTCTTACATGTGTGCTCTTCGTAATTGTGAGCCTTGCTAATCTCACAAAGGGATGCTTTTACACCGAGGGGGGGGGGCAGGGGAAGGAGGGATGGGGGAGGGGGTTTGCACCCACAAAGGCAAAGAAATTGAAGAGCTCTCTGGTTTTGTCCTGCCTGGGCAGGTAGCAGCTGAATTGTTACTAGTCAGAACCTCAGGAAGCATTAAGTGCTGCCCTGTGCTTCTATTTGGATTGCCTGGTACTTTTTTTTTTAATCAGAAAGGTTAGAAGTTGATATAATGAAAGCCATTTTTCTTAGATTTACTGGAAAGGCTCATGGAATTGGTGAAATAAGTAAATCTTGAGAGAAGAGTTGAGAATCATGAGGTGGTATTAAATAAGATGAAATAAAAGTGACCAGAAAAAAAAATCAGGACTGAAAAACTGCCAAGTTCCTATGCTGGAAGGTGTTTTTATTGTGCTTGGAGGTCTCCCATGAGCAAAGGGAGAGCATGGTTCACACATGGAGGTCAGTGATAGGACTCAGCAAAGGCACATGGAAGGATTTAGAGCTGAGAAGCCTCATTGCAGCGATCATGTTTTCAAGTGGGTGTCTGGATCTTTAATAATCATTGGCAGAAATTCCCATCAGCCATTCTGTTTGCAGAGGAAATAAGTAGGGGGAATTAAGTTGTCAATAGAAAATTACTTTATTTTTCGGAATGAGGAAAAAACTTAGAATAGGGAAATATGGTTATTTGAGGCTGATAATCATGTTTAAAGCTCAGTCTAAGAATGAGTTGATTTTGAACATACCCTTGACCTTTCCACGTATATGTCAGACCTTGGCTCTCTGGGTGGGTCTCCCTGATGACATCTGATGGTAATGACTGTCCATGAGGGATATAAAATGATCACAGAGTATAAAGTATGCCCCACACATTTCATTAGGCAGATCATTAAAATGGCTTTGCCAGTGTATACCAGACAAGAGGAGCAGACTGGCTTATCTACCTTAGTGAGAGAGAGGCCTTAAGAATTTGGTGATGTTAGAGGTGTAGATTGTACTAATGGTTTCTGAAAAGTGGTAGACTTGAAAGCAGTCAGCAAAATCTTAGAAGCTAATGAAATTGTAATATTTACATACCTGCTTGGGGGTTTGGCTTAGTGAAAACGTAATGAAACTGTTAAATAGCTAGGTTTCATTAGGTAGCCGGTTAAGAGAACACCACACGCTATTCAGGCAGGAAAAGAAGTTTATTTACTGAACTGCTGCCCCCGCCGTGCTTGGTGGAGAGGCATGGCTGAAAAAGGAAGGAGGGGGTGACCCACTCCTGGGCCAGGACTTATCTAGGTCAGGGACAGGAGGAGGTGTGGCCAGGTGGGGGAAAGGTGAGGCCACACTGGTTCAGGATGTGACCTCAGGGTCTGGGACCCTCCTAAGGTCAGATGGGAAGCAGGTGACCATAGGTGGCCCAGGATATGACCTAGCAGGAGGGGAAGGAGACTGCTTCCAGGTGTGTCAGTTACCTAGGTAACAGATACTGGGTGGAAACTTAGCCAAGATGTAAGGAGGTGTCCCTGTGCAGACCTTACACAAACATGTAGAATTGAGATGCTTCTGGAAGATGAGAGTTGCTCTCCATTTGAGTAGTAACACTTCATAATTTATTGCTAGTATTTTTTTCCTTCCATTTTTTAATCTATGATAGTAGAGAGTGTTGTTCTAGCTTCCAAGATTCTATACCTTAAGTGAGTAGCTCTAAAGATGATACCTCCTCAAGGGAGAAAGAAGCATGTTTTGAATCCCTGATTTGATAGCTAAATTTTATAAAGGTGTCATCACTTTGAGATTTGAATTGGACTTTTAAAGATTTCTTTCTATATATTTGTATATACAACATTGTTTTTTTTAATGTTTTAGGCCATGAATATTAAAATAGAACCAGAAGAGACAACAGAATCCAGGACTCATAATCTGAGACGCCGAATGGGTTGTTCAACTCCAAAGTATGAAAGTGGTAAGAAGTTTATCTGTGAAGAAGATAGATATAAAGAAGTGAAAATATTTGTTAAATAAATACACACTAGAGCAATTGTCATGTACTAGTACTTTGTTGGACTTTGAGAAATGAGGTCTCGATATATCTCTGCTTTTATTCTCATAGTTACCTGCCTAGTAAGAGACAATATATCTCTGTCTTTAGTTTCATAATTACCTGCCTAGTAAGAGACAGAGAAGCACATGCACATTAGGAATGTTGCTAGTGGCTAGGATTAAATGCAGCTAGTTGCTGCCTTGAAATTTAGTTGGGTGCCAGTATCTCATGCTGATAGTCCTAGCTACTCAAAAGGCTGTGATCTGTGATTCAGGGCCCGTGCAGGCAGACAGAACCTCCAGACTCTAATTTCCAATTAGCCAACAAGAATCCGGAAGTGGAGGTATGGCTGAAATGGTAGAACACCAGCTGTTAGTGAAAAAGCCAAGCAAGAGCTTGAGACCTAGAGTTGAAGTTCCAGTTCCCTCTCTCCCCCCCCCACCCTCCCTCCTCAATCCCCTCTCCTGTCCCCCATCCCCTTTTCCTTCTCTCTCCTCTCTTCCCCCCTCTCTCCTCTCTTCTTCCCCTTTCCTCTCTCTCCTTTCTTTTTCTCCCCCCCACCCATGCACACAATTTGCAAAAAGCATTGGTGCCTTTGACTGTCATTTCAGGCATGGCAGACAGACATCCTCTGAAAGTGAATTGTAGAAATCCTTGCTGGCCTGTATACTCACAGGGTACAAAACAAAGGACAGAATTACTATGATTGGCTCTTCTTAGGGAGGGATCAGTGAGTTAGTGGAAAGGCAGTATATATAGTGTGGTAAAAACAACATGAATATGAATCTAGGCCCAACCACTGAACAGTTCTATGACCTTAGAGATAGTATCTGTGTGTGTGTGTGTGTGTGTGTGTGAGAGAGAGAGAGAGAGAGAGAGAGAGAGTGTGGGATGGGGGAAGAGGGAGAGGATACTGGAGCTTGAACTCTATGCACACAAATGTGCATGCCTCTGTCAGCCCTAGGGCTTCAAACTCAGTGCCTAGGTGCTGTCCTTGAGCTTTGTGCTTAAGGAACTTGAGTCATAGCTCCACTTCTGGTGTTTTGGTTATTCATTGGTTTTTCTGCCCAGCTGGCTTTGAACTGTGATCTTCAGTGCTCAGCTCCTGAGTAGCTAGGATTATAGACATGAACAATCATGAGCCTGGTGAGATAATATGTTGTTTTAGTAGCAATTTTCTTGTCTTTGAAATGATTTGTTTTGAAGAATTGAATTTATAGAATGCCTTTAGGATAATGCCTACCATGTGATAGTTCAGTAATAACTTAGTTTTTAGTCAAAACTAAGGATATTGGAGACTAGGAGATTGACCACAGGAAATTAATTATCTTAGACGACAAGGAGATATGATATATAATATGGAAGAGGTCAAGTTGGTGGATTTAGTCAAGCAGTCATGATTAAGAGAACATTGATTTCAGGGGTTGGAAGTGTGGCCTTGAATGTAGTTACACTGGCTGCTATTGCTGCAAAATGGAAAGCAGACAGGAAGTGTTTTATGTACTTCTGTGTCCAGTGTGCTTTGGGAGGCCGCGGTGGAGGAGGTGAGGAGGTGAGGCGGGAGCAGAGGAAGCATGGGGCACAAGGTGACTTTGCATTGTTCCTTGCAGACAAAGAAATGAAAAGCAACATCAAGCAAGAACCCATTGAAAAGAAAGACTATACGTTAGAGAGTGAGAAGGAAAAGCCGAAGAGTCGATCTAAAAAAACCACCAATGCTGTGAGTCAACGTCTCCTTTTCTCCCGTTTATTTTCCTCTTTCCTTTCCTTCTTTTTTGAAGGATGTTGATAGGTTGCACCGGCCAACTTCCTGTTGCCTCAGCCTCCTGAGAAGCTGGCTTTACAGACATGCCCTCCTTCCTTCATCCTTTCTTTCTTGTTCATTTCTCTATTTATTATTATTATTATTATTTTGGTCAGTTGTGGGGCTTGAACTCTGGGCTTAGCGCTTTCCCTGCACTCTTCAGCTCAAAGCGAGCTGTCTACCGCTTGAGCCACAGTGCCACTTCCAGTTTTCTAGCAGTTTATTGGAGAAAAGAGTCTCAGGGACTTTCCTGCCTGGCTGGCTTTGAGTTGTGATCCTCAGATCTCAGCTTCTGAGTAGCTAGGATTACAGACATGAGCCTGTATTTTTTTTTATTATTAAATACTTTATTAGTTTTTTGTAACAAAACTCACATAGATAAGACCTTACACACAATATTTAACACATTGACTATCCCTGTACAAATATTAAAAAAAAATTTTTTTCATCTGGTAGGGGTCTTAATATCTGTTCAATGCCAACTCATCATGGTAAACTGGCATACTTTTTTGGGGGGGGGGATCCGGTTGTGGAGCCTGAACTCTGGGCCTGGGCGCTGTCCCTCAGCTCTTCAGCTCAAGGCTAGCGCTCTACCACTTGAGCCACAGTGCCACTTCCGGCTTTTTTCTTTTTGCTTATGTGGTGCTGAGGAATCGAACCCAGGGCCTCAGGCATGCAAGGCAAGCGCTCTACCACTGAGCCAACTTCCCAGCCCTGGGATACTTCTTTCCAAAGTTTACAGCACAGCTATAATTTCAAAAAATTTGAATTATGTGTATATGCATATGGCATGTATTGTGTATGTGGTGCTGGGAGTGTGTGTAGATAAAGAACCACTGTAGCAGTATGTTTTGTATCAGTAGCAACAACTACTTTTCTAAGTTCTGTAATCTGAACTTGTGAAGGCTGAACACTCAAAGAAAGAAAGAACAAGGTGTTGGTGGCTCATGCCTGTAATCCTAGCTATTCAGGAGGCTGAGATCTAAGATCAAGGTTTGATGCAAGCCCAGGCAGGAAAGTCCATGAGACGCTTTATTTCCAGTGAACCACTAGAAAACCAAAAGTGGAACTGTGGCTCAAAGTGGTAGAGCACTACCCTTGAGCAAAAGAGCTCAGGGACAGCACCTGAGTTCAACTCTCATGATTGAAGAAAAAAAGTAATACAACAAAACCTCAGAAAACAGCAAAAATTCTGTTCCTATTGTGGTATGTGACACCATTACAATAAAAAAGTACTCTCAATGTTTTCTTCTGGAAAGAAAACATTTTGGAGGAGCATCATTAAAAACAGCCATTGTGTGTGTGTGTGTGTGTGTGTGTGTGTGTGTGTGTGTGTGTGTGTGTGTGTGTGTGTGTGTGTGTGTGTGTGTGTGTGTGTGTGTGTGTGTGTGTCTGTCTGTCTAGTTAATTAGATATGAGTCTCCGGACTTTTCTGCCTGGGCTGGTTTGGAACCATGATCCACAGATCCCAGTCTTCTGAGTAACTAGTATGTGTTTTGCATGGACATCCTGCCGTTTCCTTGTTTGAAACCCTTTTATCCAAGCTTATGTTTGTGTCTTAATCAGGATTGGTTGACTTAGTATCTGACTATGGAAACATCTTTTCTAGTCAGTTTCTAATAGTACCACTACTGTCCTTGAACTCAGGGCCTTCTGCTCTCTGAGCTTTTTTACTCAAGGCTAGCACTCTACAACATGAGCCATGCTTGTACTTCTGGCTTTTTTTTCCTGGTTAATTGGATAAATTAAATAATTGAGATTTGCCTGCCCTACTGGCTTTGAACCTCAATTCTCTGATCTCAGCCTCCTGAGTAGGTAGGATTATAGACATGACCATTAGTGCCCAAATGACACACTTTAAAATATCTCTGAGTCCAGTATAGGGTGCTGGCCTAACATGCAGTCTATGGCTTTGATCCTTAATTGCTACAAAAAATCCTAATGAAACAAAAGGAATATATCCCTTATAGAGAGGTTGTATTTGAAGCAGGATGGCAAGACTGGATGATGTCTTAGTTACATTTCCGTCCCTAGAATTGCTCAAATCAATGAACAGCTCGTGTTCTATCCCTGCCTTGTTTGGTTGTTGCAGGTGGACCTGTATGTCTGCCTCCTGTGTGGCAGTGGCAATGACGAGGACCGGCTTCTCCTGTGTGACGGCTGTGATGACAGCTACCACACCTTTTGCTTGGTCCCACCGCTCCACGACGTTCCTAAGGGAGACTGGAGGTGTCCTAAGTGTTTGGCTCAGGTAAGGGTGAATGGCGGAGGTAGCATTAGGAAATTGCATTTGCAGTATTTTATGTTTGCAGTTTGGCCATGGGTAACAACAAAGCCTGTGAACAAAACTGTGCTGAACCTGAATGGAGAAGAGGTCTTAGTTGTGAAGTCTGTGCAGGCAGCTGATGAAGAGGACGGTTTGCAAATGTTTGTAAATAGTTAAGACTTTATAAAAGTAATACAATTGTGAGAAGCATTCCATCCTTTCTGTAAGAACTTACAAATGGTGAGTCATAAAACACATTTCTAGATAACCCCCTGTTAGTGTCTTGGTGTATATTTCCCAAGAGTTTTTCTATTTCAAACAAATGGAATTACATACACGATTTTGGTAATCTATATTAAGTATTTTCCTATAGTACTGTGATTACTGATTTTTTTAAATAAAATCTAAAAATTGTCATTTTTATGAAGATTAGTTTTTACTATGAAGCAGTCAATTGGACTATTACTTTGTGTTACAGTTAAAATGCAATCATGAGATTTATTTTGTAAATTGGATATCAAGATTTTAGTTCTTTTCCCCCATGAAATTAAGATATATGAAGGAGAAGATGTTAGGCCTGGGCCAGGCAAGGGAGCATGGATGTTAGATAAACCAGATGTGTAATTCCTTGATAGGCTCGACTGAGCGAACATATCTGAGATGTTCAAATCCATTTATCACTGTGTTTTGCCTGTGATTCTTTTAATGTTCATTTTTTTTGATGATACTTAGTTTATAATGAAATATTGTTGGTCTGAGAGACATTTGTTTCCTTCAAGTGTTTTACCTCTATTTTGATCTTCCCTGTGTTGATTTAGCTCTTGAAGGACATTTTCTGTGTTTGATCCTAACAAAAGTTAGAGTTTTAGTCTGGGTCTTTATAAATATTTAAATCACTGCAAGTTGTGATTGCTAAAATGAAAGTTTTATTTGCTCAGTAAGAAATATAGTTATTTCACTCATTAGCACAACCTTGTTCTTTATACAGTTTAATTTTTCTAACATAGGCTTCACATAGATGTAAAAATAAATAAATTGAGAATTTGTTTTTATCTACCTATTTGAATATTGACCAAATTTAATTTCCTGTCATTTTGGAGTGTCACTTAGAACACAAGTTTTCCTTTTTATTTGCAGGAATGCAGTAAGCCACAAGAAGCATTTGGCTTTGAGCAAGCAGCCAGGGACTATACTCTTCGGACTTTTGGAGAAATGGCAGATGCATTCAAATCTGATTACTTCAACATGCCAGTTCATGTATGTACACATACACATATGTTCTGCGTTGATTTAGGATTTTAATGGCTTTTGAGAAATACTTGAAGATAGATTGAAGCTTTACTCTTGATAGCCATTATATATAATAGACTATTAATATTAGTAGTTAATATGTGTGTGTCCATGCATGCGCACATGTGTGCTGACACTAGGACTTGCACTCAGGGCTTAGGCCCTGTCCTGAACTTTGTTGCTCAAGGCTAGAGCTCTACCACTTGAACCATAGCTCTGCTTTTGACATTTTTAGTAGCTTGCTGGAGATCTTGGTGCTCTTGCTTAGCTTTTGCACTCAAGGCTGGCACACTGTCACTCGAACCACAGCGCCACTTCCAGTTTTCTGAGTGGTTTATTGGTGATAAGAGTCTCACAGACTTTCCTGCCGGGGTTGGCTTTGAACTGTGATCCTCAGATCTTGTTTTTTGTTGTTGTTTTTTTTTTTTTTTGGGGGGGGGGGGTCTGGTCGTGGGGCCTGAACTCTGGGCCTGGGCACTGTCCCTCAGCTCTTCAGCTCAAGGCTAGTGCTCTACCACTTGAGCCACAGTGCCACTTCTGGCTTTTTTCTTTTTGCTTATGTGGTGCTGAGGAATTGAACCCAGGGCCTCAGGCATGCAAGGCAAGCGCTCTACCACTGAGCCAACTTCCAGCCCTGGGTTGTTTTTTTCTTTGAAGGTCTTCATATGTAGTTTAGGTTGGACTGGAACTCATCCTTCTATCTTTACCTCCTAAATGCTGGATTACAGGTATGAACCACCATACTTGGTGAGAAACATGAATTTTTGAAAATAATTTTTTAATTGAGGTTAAGAGATTACATAAATTTCAAAGTATTGTGGAATAGTGATACTTATAGTCACAAACACAAACCTTCACAAGGCACACTGTCATTATCATGGTCTATAAAGCTATAGACTCTTTGACACTATAGCTATTTCTTCCAAACCAGGTGATATGTACATTTCTTTCCTTTTTCTGAGTATAAGCTGTTCCCTCTTTCTCTCTCATTCCCTCCCTTCCATCGCTGCCCTTGAGTTGCTTAGTTCATTTTCATCAATGTCCTGTGTAGCCCATCAGAAACATGAAGGTTGTTTTTTTGGGTCTGGTCATAGGGCCTGAACTCTGGGCACTATCCCTCAGCTCTTCAGCTTAAGGCTAGCGCTCTACCACTTGAGCCATAGCGCCACTTCCAGCTTTTTTCTTTTTGCTTATGTGGTGCTGAGGAATCGAACCCAGGGCCTCGTGCATGCAAAGCAAGCGCTCTACCACTGAGCCACCTTCCCAGCCCCAGAAACATGAAGTTTTAAAAATTTTCTTTTTTCTTGGTGGTACTTTCAACTGAACTCAAGGTACTTCAACTGAACTCTTGTACTTGTGCTCTACCAATTGACCTATTTCCCTAGTCCTAAAACCTGAATTCTTAATTGATATGCTTTTTTTTTTTCATTTGAGGGTAGGTGCTATTTGTTAAAATATCCTATGAAAAAAATCGATAATTTACAATTTATCTTCAGTCTTTAAAATTTAAGTTAAACACTAATAGAATCCATATGCTTCTTGTAAAATTCCTTTTAGAAAATAGAATTGTTGCCAGTCACTGGTGGTTCATCTGCAATCCTAGGTACTCAGGAGGTTGACATCTGAGGATCAGTCAGCCCAGGCAAGAAAGTCTGTGAGATTCTTATCTCCAGTAAACTACTCAGAAAAAGCAGGAAGTCGAGCTGTGGCTTAAGTGGTAAAGCTCTAGCCTTAAGCAAAAAGAAGCTCAGGAATAGCACCCGGGCCATGAGTTCAAGCCCCAGGACTGGCAGCAAAATGAAAAAGGAAAATAGAATTGTTGCTTGCATTGCTTGGAATCGGTAATGGAGCCAAATTTGTCCTCAATGATTCCTGTCGCTTACCTAGTCACCAAACAGCTTGTGAATAAGAACTCAACTTTATCCCTTTTTTCACGTTCCAGATGGTTCCCACAGAACTGGTTGAAAAAGAGTTTTGGCGGTTGGTAAGCACCATCGAAGAGGATGTCACAGTGGAATATGGAGCTGATATTGCTTCAAAGGAGTTTGGCAGTGGCTTTCCTGTCCGAGATGGGAAAGTCAAAACTTCTCCTGAGGAAGAGGTAGGCCTGTGGCATTTGAAGTGAAGCTCTTCATTTGAAGCCAATCATTGGGCCTATTCTTGTTTTGTTTTGATTTTTGGGGGTCTGGTCGTGGGGCCTGAACTCTGGGCCTGGGCGCTGTCCCTCAGCTCTTCAGCTCAAGGCTAGCGCTCTACCACTTGAGCCACAGCGCCACTTCCGGTTTTTTTCTTTTTGCTTATGTGGTGCTGAGGAATGGAACCCAGGGCCTCATGCATGCAAGGCAAGTGCTCTACCACTGAGCCACCTTCCCAGCCTCTGGGCCTATTCTTGATCTCAAGGAGCACTGCTGGATTAACATAGTGCCTGGAGACTGAGTTATTTACTGAAATTGTGTTTGGTCAGCTTGAAGTGATTTGTGATTCGTTTGAGTAATTAATCCTTCCTTACCAGGTTTTTAATGCTTTCCAGAAAAATTGGAGTTCCTCCAGATTCCTATCATTGTGCTAGTGCACTGGTGACTGGGGGGTCACTTACCCACCTGTGTCTTCAGAATTCATAATCCCATTTCCCTTGACGAAATCTGAGAGAGACTGCACTTAGCTTTGATTTAAAATTTTTTATTTTAAATTTGTTAAAACAAATTGTGTGTGTGTGTGTGTGTGTGTGTGTGTGTGTATGTGCGCACGCACGTATGCACGCGCATGCTAGTCTTAGGGATTGAACTCAGGACCTGGCTCTGTCCCTGAGCTTTTGATTAAGGCTAGCACTCTATCATTTGAGCCACAGCTTCACTTCTGGCTGTTAGCCTCCCAAGTAGCTACCATTAGAGACATGAGCCACGGGCACTCAGCTTGGTCTTTTTAGCAGTACTCTACCACTTGAGCAACAGCTCTACTTTTAACTTTTTTCCTAGTTAGTCAGAGGTAAAAGTCTCACAGGCTTTTTCCTGCCTGGGCTGGCTTCAAACTGTGATCCTTAGATCTCTGCCTCCTGAGTAACTATATAATTACAGATGTGAGCCACAGCACCTGGCTGGCTTTGAAGTTTTTGTTTATGAGTTTATTGTTTTCCATACTAGCATGCCCTTAGGAAGATTTTTATTCCTGTCTTGGTAGGAGGTCAGATTAAAGTTTAAAAAGATATATATACACAGAAAAGTACATAATCAGATGTGTACTGTTCGATAGTTTTTTTTTTGTTTTGTTTTGTTTTTTAACCAACGCAACCTCTGAACCAGCACTTGGACAAGAACTCCAGAAGCTCCCTGCCCAGTCTTTATACTCTCCCTCTTTCCAGACAACCATTGTCTTTGCAGGACATTGTCACAGATTTTCAGGCATACATTGGGTTGCCTAATTTCCAACTTCATATAAGTAGCCTCATGGTTTATGTTCCTGTGTATCCCACAAAAGAGGCAGCTATGAAAATATGGATGGTACAAGTTCATTTACATGGAGTCCAAACCAGACAAAATGAGTTCATGGTCATCCTGACATAGGCAGAGGGGTCCCCCGGCTTCCCCTCGTGGGTCCTTTTCTTTACATGGAATCTGTGTCGAGACAGAGCTCTAAGATGTCAGCACAATGTAGCTGAACCCTGTCGTCTTGTGTCCTCTTGTGTTTAGGAATATCTTGATAGTGGCTGGAATCTGAACAACATGCCTGTGATGGAGCAGTCTGTCCTTGCCCACATCACTGCTGATATATGTGGCATGAAACTCCCTTGGCTGTATGTGGGAATGTGCTTTTCTTCCTTCTGTTGGCACATTGAAGACCACTGGAGCTACTCAATCAACTACCTGCACTGGTGAGAAGTTGCTCATAGAGCTATGAGCAGAACTGGGGTTATCTTCCTCCCGCCTTCTCCCTTTTGTTTTCACTGCTGCTGGCCAGGCATCCTGTCAACTTAAACCAGTAGATTCTAACACTTTCCAGAAGGTTTAAAATTGCACACACACTATTTTACAAGTGTAGCATGTTTCTGGGTTCATGGTGACATTTTTAGCTCAAATAAAAGAAGTCTTTGTTCACGGAAATGGTCGAAAGCCTGAACTTGGCTTTCACCATGGTGGTAGCGGTGGCTTAGGGACTTAGGTGCTGTGGGGAGCGGTACCTGGTGTCTTCCAGGTCCCTGGAATGCTATCTTCCTTTTTATTGGCTGGGTTTTGCCATCATGACATAGTGAAGTGCCCTTCATTTGTGTGTGGCAGATGTGAGTGCAGATATTGGGATTTACTAATGAAACTTTTCAACCAAAGCCACTTCTTCATAGCTCCTTTTTTTTCTACCTCTTATTCTCTTGCTTGTAAACACATAAATATTTGACCATCTGTAGCTCACTGAAATCCCCACATAAGAAATTTGATGATGGTACCACAGGGAAGTAGGACTGAACCTTCTTTTTTGTTTTGTTTTGTTTTTGGGTCCGGTCATGGGGCCTGAACTCTGGGCCTGGGCACTGTCCCTTAGTTCTTCAGCTCAAGGCTAGCACTCTACCACTTGAGCCACAGCGCCACTTCCCGCTTTTTTTTTTCTGCTTATGTGGTGCTGAGGAATCGAACCCAAGGCCTCAAGCATGCAAGGCAAGCGCTCTATCACTGAGCCACCTTCCCAGCCCCGGACTGGACCTTCTTTAGATGCAGCATTAGTTCTCCTTGTCCAGGCAACTGCTCCCAGCTGTAAAGAAAGGAAGTTTCCATTCCTCACAGGGATGTTACAGATTAATGTGTTGACAATGAGGTGTTTGAAAGAATTCAGGGCTTTATGGGAATCCTGATTACCCTGCTTGTCAGTAAGGGCAACACACAGGAAGACAGGGGTTGAAAAGCCCTCACCAGTTGCTGTAGAGATTTGTGGTAGCCTCAGATCTGTGATAAACACAGCACTTTGTGTTCTTAGAAACTTCAGGGATCAAGTGAAAATGGGAGTGAAGAGAAGAAGCTTAGGTGGTAAGATTCATGCTTACACTTCCTGCTTCAAGGGAGGAAGTGCATTCCATAGGTTCCGCTCATGTTTCTAGTGATACTTTGCTTTGAACATTTGTTCCTTAGCCCTACAGAGCAAAGTCTGAAAGCTTTCAACAGGTTAGCTGTTTCCTTGGTGTGGTGTTGCATATTTGTTATTTTATTTTTATTTTTTTTGTTGGTCATGGCTTGAACTCTGGCACTGTCCCTCAGCTCTTCAGTTCAAGGCTCTAGTGCTCTACCACTTGAGCCACAGCGCCACTTCCAGGTTTCTGAGTGGTTTGTTGGAGATAAGAGTCTCATGGCTTTTCCTGCACGGGCTGGCTTTGAACCATGATCTTCAGATCTCAGCCTCCTGAGTAGCTAGGATCACAGGTGTGAGCCACTGGCATCCAGCAAGATTATATTTCTTTTTGGACAATGTCACCCCTCCAGACTGATTTATTTTTATAAATCTGTTTTTCAGGGGTGAACCAAAAACCTGGTATGGAGTCCCAGGGTATGCTGCGGAACAGCTGGAAAATGTAATGAAGAAGCTAGCTCCAGAGCTCTTTGTCTCCCAGCCAGATCTCCTCCATCAACTGGTGACCATCATGAACCCCAACACACTGATGACTCACGAAGTGCCTGTAGGTTTTGGGTCAATTCTCTGCCACTCAGACTTAGTTCACCCCTTCTCTTTTGGTTTGGCTCTGTTTTCTACAGTATAACTGACAGCACTGCTCAGTTCAGCTTTCTACCATTCTGTCCTTAACCTTTGGGCCTAGATCCCCAGACACCATAAAAAGGAACTACAACAAACACGTAGATTATTGAACCAGACTTGCTTTGCAAATAACAAGTGTTGATTTCAGTAGTTGCAGTACCTTCACAGCTTGTGCACTCATTGCTGGTGCTTTCTGGGCTATATTCTTTGTCAACAAAATTAAAGCTTTTAAAAACAATTGCCTACCAGTTTAAATAGGTTTTCTGAAAAGATGGCTAGATTCTGCTACAGTCATATCTTAAGTCTTGGTGTCAGGATCTTTTGTGCCTTGTCCTTTTTAAAATTGTATTTGATCAACATGATCTTGATTTTGAATAATGAACCAAAATGACATGCTTGGTTAGAACTTAGTTATTTTACATTTGTGCTCCTGATGAAGCATATTTTAAGTGACAGTTTGAAGTTTTGTCCTTAGATTTCAGGGTCTTTTTTTTTTTTTTTTTGGTCCGGTAGTGGGGCCTGAACTCTGGGCCTGGGCGCTGTCCCTCAGCTCTTCAGCTCAAGGCTAGCGCTCTACCACTTGAGCCACAGCGCCACTTCCGGCTTTTTTCTTTTTGCTTATGTGGTGCTGAGGAATTGAACCCAGGGCCTCAAGCATGCAAGGCAAGCGCTCTACCACTGAGCCACCTTCCCAGCCCAATTTCAGGGTCCTTGATGAAGACTGCAAGGTGCTGTTGGTGCTCTTTTCTGTTGAGGTTGTTGCTGTTGTGTGAAGTGACAGGCAAAAGCTCTTTTGCTTTTAGAAAATTCTGAACATGTTCTGGGAAGTCAGATTGAAATGCATGTATTTGCACAGTCAATCCTAGTTAGCTAAATAAAAAGAGATTGTAGACTTACCAGTATTAAAGTAAAACTCTTTATCTTGCTAAGACACAAACTTTTTTTTTTTTTTTGGGTCCGGTCGTGGGGCCTGAACTCTGGGCCTGGGCGCTGTCCCTCAGCTCTTCAGCTCAAGGCTAGCGCTCTACCACTTGAGCCACAGCACCACTTCCGGCTTTTTTCTTTTTGCTTATGTGGTGCTGAGGAATCGAACCCAGGTCCTCATGCATGCAAGGCAAACGCTCTACCACTCAACCACTGAGCCACCTTCCCAGCCCCTAAGACACAAACTTTTTTAAAAAGTCAATTGTGGGGCTTGAACTCTGGGCCTGGGCGCTGTCCCTCTGCTCTTCAACTCAAGGCTAGTGCTCTCCCACTTGAGCCACAGTGCCACTTCTGGCTTTTTTTTTTTTTTCCTATTTATCAAACCCAGGGCCTCATGCATGCAAGGCAAGCGTTCTACTACTGAGCCACCTTCCCAGCCGAAGACCCAAACTTTTTATGCTTTTGGATTTACAGGCTGGTCAGTGGGGGACATACATAATCCTTGAGGAATTTTTTTAGGAATCATAAATTATAAACAGACCATAGCTTAACAAACAATGATCAAGGGACAGGGTAACTCAGTGATCGTATGCTTGCCTAACATCTAGTAGGCACATGCCCTAAGTTCAGTCCCCAGCACTGAAAGTAAACAGCAAAAACAACCATAAAACAAAATTAGTATAGGCTTGTCATCCCTAGCACTTGAGAGGCTAAGACAGGAGGATCATGAGATTGAAACTATTCTGCACAATATAATGAGACCTTGTCTCAACAGACCAAAAAAGGAAGAGGAAAAAAAGCACAAAAGAAAATAATAACTACCGGAGCTGGGAAGGTGGCTCAGTGGTTGAGTGTTTGCCTCGCATTGTGAGGCCCTGGTTTGATTCCTTAGCACCACATCACATAAACAGTAAAAGCCAGAAGTGGCGCTGTGGCTCAAGGGGTAGAGTGCTAGTCTTGCTTGAGCTGAAGAGCTGAGAGACAGCACCCAGTTCCAGAGTTCAGGCCCCACAACCAACAAAAAACCAAACAAACAAGAAAACAGTAACTACCAAAATTACAGCATTTCTTTAGTATTTTCTTCATTAGTGGTTTCTCTTCTCATGCTGATTGATCTGCAGTATATCAAGAGTAGCTTCTATTCAAGCCTGACTCTGGTTCTCTAAAATTTGAGGAACCATGGGAGGCCTAGATTCTGAGATTGTAAAGTGAATAAATTCCTCCTTTTACAGATTCATTATTTAGGGGAACGGTACCACATTTATACACATAATGGAAGTATGGTATGGTTTAACTGCATTTTTAGTGAGGAGGTTAATCTTATTAACTGTAGAGAAGTCAGAAAGAAAGGGCTCATAAGTGAGAAGCCCTGTGATACAGAACTTGGTCCTTCTTCTTACTAGTGAGTATGCTGGGGAGACTTGAGTTACTTTTCTGCCAAGTTCCTAGTTTTATTGATACTGTTGTTCTATATACTGTTGACTACATTTGATACTGATACTGTTGACTGCATTTTATAAGCCACTGATAGAGAACTATAAAGATTTAAAAGGACAACATTTATTTATTTATTTGTGTTGGCCCTGGGGCTTGAACTCTGTGCCTGGGCGCTGTCCCTGCACTGTAGCTCAAGGCGAGCACTCTACCAGTTGAGCCACAGCGCCACTTCTGGTTTTCTAGTGGTTTATTGGAAATAAGAGTCTCACGGATGTTCCTGCCCAAGGCTGGCTTTGAACTGTGATCCTTAGATCTCAACCTCCTGAGTAGCTAGGATTACAGGCATGAGCCACTTACATAAATAAGTTCAGTTGGGGCTGGGAAGGTGGCTCAGTGATAGAGCGCTTGCCTTGCATGCATGAGGCCCTTGGGTTCGATTCCTCAGCACCACATAAGCAAAAAAGAAAAAAGCTGCACGTGTCGCTGTGGCTCAAGTGGTAGAGCACTAGCCTTGAGCTGAAGAGCTGAGGGATAGCGCCCAGGCCCAGAGTTCAGGCCCCACAACCGGACCCCCCCCCCAAAAAAAAAAAAAAAAATAAGTTCAGTGTACCACTTCATGTGCCTGGAGTAGTACATGTTCTTTGGGGTCAGGTTGGTTGAAAAAGGAGTTAGTGGGGAGTAAATTGGAGTTCAAATCTGGGATTTCTGGATTTCTTTTTTAGCTAATAGGATTTCTTAAATTGATAGGTGGAGGTGGTCTTATTTTGAGATAGATAAATGACATTTTTTTGGGGGGAGGGTCAGTCGAGGAGCTTGAACTCTGGGCTTGGGCACTGTCCCTCAGCTCTTCAGCTCAAGGGTGCTCTACTGCTTGACCCACAGTGCCACTTCCAGTTTTCTGGTAGTTTATTGGAGATAAAAGTCTCATGGACTTTTCCTGCCTGGGCCGGCTTTGAACCATGATCCTCAGATCTCAGCCTCCTGAGTACCTAGGAATACAGGCTTGAGCCACCGGTGCCCGGCATTAGGACATTTTTGATTACAGATGTATTTAGAACACTGTATCATAATCCTAGACATGCACAGATAGATATAAGGCTCATGTTTTAGCTTTATTTTCTATTCAGATACTGCTCCATCTTGTGGCCAGAAGTAGGTGATATCCTACCGCAGTAAATTTTTAATTGATCACACCCACATGTGTGTCAGTGTGAGTGTGTGCACATGTGCGCGTACATGTACACATGCATGCCAAGCCTGGGGCTTGAACTCAGGGCCTAGGCGCTATCCTTGAGCTTCTTTTGCTCAAGGCTAGCACTCTAACACTTGAGCCACAGCTCCACTTCCAGTTTTTTTTGGTGGTTAATTGGAGATGAGTCTCAAAGGCTTCCCTATCAGGGCTGGCTTTGAACTATCCTCAAGTCTCAATTTCCTGAGTAGTTATTATAGGCTTGCGCCACCAGCACCTAGCTAAATCATTTTTAGTTGGTAGAACTTCCTGGTTTAGTATTTAGTATTTGGGGAGAATGTTAATAAGAATCTCAAATCTCCAATCTCTTTCTCTTTAGGTTTATCGAACCAATCAGTGTGCTGGGGAGTTTGTGATTACATTTCCAAGAGCCTACCACAGTGGTTTTAACCAAGGCTTTAATTTTGCTGAGGCTGTTAACTTCTGCACTGTTGATTGGGTATGTAATTGCTAGTTGGTGGGCATTTTAAAATTTACCATTTTCCTGTGGAAATAATGTATAATGCTTTAAAAACGGCCCTTTGTAAACCTGTTTGAACCCATTGCTGTTCACTGGCCACACCACAGTAACAGAAGGCACTTGTGCCACACTGCTGTGTGAATCAGACTTTCTTTTTATTGTTTTGGTGGTCAGATTTATTTTTATTTTTATTTATTTATTTATTTTTTGCCAGTCCAGGGGCTTGAACTCAGTGCCTGGGCACTGTCCCTGAGCTTCTTTTTCCTCAAGGCTAGCACTCTACCACTTGAACCACTTTACCCACTTCCGGTTTTCTGGTGATTTCTTAGAGATAGGAGTCCCAACAGTCTTTCCTGCCCGGGCTGGCTTTGAACCTCGATCTTGAGATCTCAGCCTCCTGAGTAGCTAGGATTATAGGCATGAGCCACTGGCTCCTGGCTCACTTTTGGCTTTTTAAAATTTGGTACTGAGGAATCAAACCCAAGGCTTCATGCATGCTAGGCAAGCACTCTACCTCTAAGCCACATTCCCAACCTTTTTTTTTTTTTTTTAAGATTTTTTTTTTTTTTTATACCTAAGCTGATCCCAGATTCATGAGTATAATGCATCTTTTTGTTCTGGAAGTAACCTGTCTTGTAGCAAGATTTTCATGATGGAAAAAGTTGTTTTATGTTCTGGCCTTTTTTTTTTTGTCGGTAATGGGGCTTGAACTCTGCGCTTGGGTACTGTCCCTCAGCTCTTCAGCTCATGGCGAGTGCCATAGCGCTACTTCTGGTTTTCTAGTGGTTTATTAAAGAGTCTCACGGACTTTCCTGCCTGGGCTGTCTTTGAACCACAATCCTCAGATCTCAGCCTCCTGAGTAGCTAGGATGACAGGTGTGAGCTGCTGGTGCCCGGCTTGGCTGAAACTTTCTTGTGGACTGGTACCAAACTACTGCAGTGTGAAAGTTTGTACCAGCTGTCTTGCAATATTCACAACACAGCCATCACTGGCACGTTTGGTTTCCAGTAGTTATGACACTGACATTTTATTTGGATTAATACTTCTCATTGATTTAAAGAGAACTGTGTAGAGCAAGTATGTGTGGTATTAAAGCTAATTTCTAACTTAATTCCAGTACCTTTTTGACTAATAGAACTAGTATGTATCTATACCTATTTTCAATCATACAGATTTTGCTGTTGTATGTTCCCTGAAACAGGCTAAACCTGTTGATTGAGTACATCTGTTTCAGGAAATGTGTGAATTTATACTTCTAGTTTCACATCAGGGTGCACATTCATTGTTAATACATTTTATTTCCAGGCCATTTTTCAATTCAAGTACCTAATATCTTTGGATCATCAAGATACAAAGATAAGCCAGGCGCTGGTGGCTCACGCCTGTAATCCTAGCTACTCAGGAGGCTGAGATCTGAGGATCGCGGTTCAAAGCCAGCCCGGGCAGGAGAAACTGTGAGACTCCTATCTCCAATAAACCACCAGAAATCCGGAAGTGGTGCTGTAGCTCAAGTGGTAGAACGCTCCCCTTGAGCTGAAGAGCTGAGGGACAGCGCCCAGGCCCAGAGTTCAGGCCCCACGACCGACAAAAAAAAAAAAAAAAGATACAAAGATAAATAAGACCTAAGACCTTGCAGGAACCTGGTGTTAGGGTGAAAGTGATAGGTGTTTTGATCCAGGTTGCAAGACTTGATAATACTAGGGAAATAGAAGAAAGATGAGTGTCATGTCTCTTTCTGTGTTGGCACAGCTACCATTGGGCCGGCAGTGTGTGGAGCACTACCGCCTGCTCCACCGCTACTGTGTGTTCTCTCACGATGAGATGATATGCAAGATGGCTTCTAAGGCCGATGTGCTTGATGTTGTTGTGGCCTCCACCGTTCAGAAGGACATGGCCATTATGATTGAGGATGAGAAAGCTTTACGGGAAACTGTCCGGAAATTGGTAAGGCTTCTTGTATGTTATTGGGCTTAACTTGTTGAAGTCGTGAGTGTGCGTGCGTGCGTGCGTGCGTGCGTGCGTGCGTGTGTTTGTTTGTGTATTGGTCCTAGGGCTTGAATTCAGGGCCTGGGCACTGTCCCTAAACTGTTTTCCTGCTCAAGGTCTACTTCTAGCTTTTTTGGGATGCTTAATTGGAGATAAAATTCTCATGGAATTTCCTGCCTTGGGTGGTCTTGAATCTTGGTCCTTGGATCTCAACTTCCTAAGTAGCTATAATTTCATGTATGAGCTACCTGTGCCCAGCTACAAAGTATTTTTTAATCATCACTTCTAGATTAAAGTGAAGAATCCATTCATTATCATTAAAATCCATTCATTATCATGGTTAGAAGAGGAATATAGCCAGGCACTGATGGCTCATGCTTATAATCTTAGCTACTCAGGAGGCTGAGATCTGAGGATCATGGTTCAAAGCCGGCCCAGGCAGGAAAAGTCCATGAGACTCTTATCTCCAATAAACCACCAGAAAACCGAAAATGGTGCTGTGGCTCAAGTGGTAGAGTGCTTGCCTTGAGCTGAAGAGCTGAGGGACAATGCCCAGGCCCAGAGTTAAAGCCCCATGATTGACCAAAAAAAAAAAAAAAGAAGAGGAATATACCAATAATAAAAAAAGAGTTTGTTGTAGTTATGGTTCATACACTGACTTGACCAGCACTGCCATTCTGAAAGTTGGATTTGGGTCCAATTGTGGCTAAAGAGAATAGATAGTAAAAGTTTGCCTTAAAATGAAAAAGATATGTCCTGGAAAAGCCTCTAAAAGCCAATTGAAGTTCATTGGCTTAAGACTTCATTTTCCTTGACAGTCTTTTATTTAGGAAATACTTTCTTATGATTTGTTTCTCCTGTTGCTCAAATTTTCTACCCTATTAAGTAGATAATGATTCTCTTTCAGAGAACTCATGTACAAGAGTTAGGAAACCATTCAATGGATAATTCCTGCATGGTCATTTATCCTACTTACTGTGTACCCCAGGTTGGCTTTGAACTCCCTATGTAGCTCATGGTGGCTGCGTCATCTTGCCTCAGCCTGCCAAAGGCTGAGGTTCTGGGCATGAGCCAGCACATGGGGCATATTTTTATATTTTCCATAGATTTCCCCCTGTGGCTCTCTGAAACCCTGTGTGACATTCATTCTTCATCAGTAGATAGTGCTTATTTATGGCCCAAATATGGACAGGGCCAACCTGGGGTAGGATAAACAGCAAATTTCAATGGTATTCAGTCTTAATTTAAAACATTCCCATATTTAGATCAGAATAGCTGAACCTAATCTCTTTTTGAAAACTATATTTTCTAGTCCCTTGTTTAATAGTTTGTATTCTATACATCGTAAATAATGCATCTATGTTTTTGTAAGGTGCTCTTTTTCTGTGTTAATAGATTGTGAAAAACTCATCTGTTTTGTATGTGTCTTGAGGACTGCTAGATTATACTGTTTTTGAAAGTCTCTAAAGAACACTTTATTCTAGGGAGTAATTGATTCTGAAAGAATGGACTTTGAGCTACTGCCAGATGATGAGCGACAGTGTATAAAATGCAAAACGACTTGCTTCATGTCTGCTATCTCCTGTTCTTGCAAACCTGGCTTACTTGTTTGCTTACATCATGTAAAAGAATTATGTTCCTGTCCTCCTTATAAATATAAACTGAGGTAAGTGCAAAGAATGTTTTCCCCCCTTATCAACAGCACTAAATCCTTACTAAGAGCTCAGAGGTGTCAAGTATAACACATAACTTTTCCAGAGCCAGGTGTGTCAAGAGTTGTTGTCTTTCAGGTACAGATACACTCTGGACGATCTCTACCCCATGATGAATGCATTGAAACTTCGAGCAGAATCTTACAATGAATGGGCCTTGAATGTGAATGAAGCTTTGGAGGCCAAGATCAACAAGAAGAAAAGTATGTGGTCTAGAAAGTTTCTGTCTAAGCAGCAAGTTGGGACTGAGTTTTACATTATAACAGAACAGGTTGTTCTTACAGCCTAGCTTCATTACTGTCCAGCTACTCTGTCAGTGTCTTGAGATCATTGGCAGAGGTTTTATAGCAAAGAGTGTCCATACATCAAAGTGGAAATCTTAATGCAAAAATTTTGCATTAAGGTTTAACAAAAACCTTACTGTTAGAAAACAGAAGAGCCTATACGTATTTCATTTTTAAAAACTGATCTTGTAAAAGGCAAGATGACAGGATAAATGGCATCTTTGAAATGTTGGCTTAACACTTCTTAGTTCTAATCATAGTTAAGGTCCCTGGAACTTGTAGTTACATTTTCCTTTTTGATGGTGCTAGGATTTGAATTCAGGACCTCATGGTTATTCAGCTTCCTTGGTCAGCTGAGTACTCTTATCACTTGAGCCATGTCTCCAACCCTACTTTTTTTACTGGTTATTTTTGGAGATGATATCTTACAGACTTTTCTGGGCTGGTTTCCTTCCAATCTCAGCTTGAGTAGCTAGGATTACAGACCTGGGCCCCAAATACTGGGCACTGTCATACCACTGAAAATCACCACCTAACCAGGTTTTTTCCAGAATGTTTTCTCTTTTCTTTCTGTAGAAGAACAGGTAACTTTCTCTTTGATGTAGGAAAGGGAGCAATATATCATCCTTAACTTGAGTTACTTAACAACTACAGAATGAAATAAAGGAGAACAAATTGGGTCAGGCCACAATAACAATCTCTGCCTACTTTGCTTTCACATATTGGTGGTGTGCCTGTGTGTGTGTATTTTAACTCATCAAATCTTAAAATTTCCATATTGAATACCAACTCTAGACACATAAGAATTTCTTGCCCAGACACTTCTCCAAAACAACAACAACAACAACAAAAAGCAAAACAGCAACCAGGTGAACAAATTTATTGAAGGCCTGAAATGTGCTATAATTTTTAATTACATTTATGGATCAAGGCTGACATGCATACTCCCCCTCTCTGTTCCATAACAGTAATAATAGAAAGGATGATGGCCAATAGAAAGGATGATGGCCAGAAAGGTGACTTTTTTCCTTTCTTGTTAGGCCTGGTCAGCTTTAAGGCTTTAATTGAAGAGTCAGAAATGAAGAAATTTCCAGACAACGACCTATTGCGTCACCTTCGCTTAGTTACACAGGATGCAGAGAAGTGTGCGTCTGTTGCCCAGCAGTTGCTTAATGGCAAAAGGCAAACGAGGTGGGTGCTGTGACTCCCTTGTGTTTGGCTCTGTGGCTGTTAAACCTGTTGTGACTGGCTTTAGAGAATTCCCACCTGTGGTGTGGGAATCTGTGGGTGATGAACATACATGTCCTCATTCAGCTTCCTTGGCCATTGTCTTTGTAGATACCGATCTGGTGGAGGAAAATCCCCCAATCAGCTGACAGTGAATGAACTCCGACAGTTTGTGACTCAGTTGTATGCTCTTCCGTGTGTTCTCAGTCAGACACCGTTGCTAAAGGTGAGCAGAAGGGTGTGTGGAATCCCTTTACTTTGTAAATCAACTTGGTTGACATTACTTAGTGGTCTTCAGTAGATAGTTTGTGTATTTGTTTGCAAAGTATTTTACATAACATTGAATGTGTGGAAAAAATAAGCTGACAAAGTTGGAAATTTTCCTATGAAAGCAATTAGCTCGTACTTGCAGTTGCTGTCCAATGTATGGTTGTTTTTATCAGATGACATCAAGTCTTGCCTCAACCATATGATGTGTAAAATCAAGTGGATGGTTGAGGATTACATGGAATATGAAATTAAGATTCTAAGTCTGAAAGAAAGAAGCCTATTATTGATATTACTAAGTTGTCTTTTGGTTTTGCTCCTTTATTTTCTGTTAGGATCTGTTGAACCGTGTAGAAGATTTCCAACAGCATAGTCAGAAGCTCCTCTTGGAGGAAATGCCCAGTGCTGCCGAGCTGCAGGACTTGCTAGACGTCAGCTTTGAGTTTGATGTTGAACTTCCACAGCTTGCTGAGATGCGTGTCCGTCTGGAACAGGCTCGGTGGCTAGAAGAGGTGCAGCAAGCTTGCCTAGACCCCAGCTCCCTTACTTTGGATGATATGAGACGTCTCATAGACCTGGGGGTTGGGCTGGCCCCCTATTCAGCAGTGGAAAAAGCTATGGCCCGGCTGCAAGAGCTGCTTACTGTGTCAGAGCACTGGGACGACAAAGCCAAGAGTCTTCTCAAGGCCAGGTAGAAAAGCTCGCTTGCATTTTTCCCTTGGGGAAGGTTGCATTGGCATTTGGCAAGTGTTCATTTGCTATAATCATGCATTTGGAATAGATAAAAGATCTGAGCTACATGGTCTTGCTTTGGAACTTTGGTAAAGAATATTTTTGTCAGTGGCTTAAACCTAGCTACTCAGGAACCTGAGATCTGAGGATCCCACTTAGAAGCCAACCTGAGCAGAAAAGTCCATGAGACTCTTATTTCCAGTAGACCACCAAAAACTCAGAAGTAGAGCTGAAGATCAAGTGGTAGATCACTAGTTTTTAGCAAAAAAGCTCAGGGATAGCTCCCAGACCCCCAAGTTAAAGCCCCAGGGCACCCTGCTTCCCCTCCCTCCAAATATATTCGTTTTCTTTTTCTTGTCTTACTAATTATAAGAGGAATTAAGTAGACATGGTTTTTCTGGAGATGAGATATGAAATGAGAGATTACAAACGGGTGCATCTTTTTAAACCTTCCTCTTAGACAAATACCAGTGGCTCATGCCTATAACCCTAGCTACAGAGGAGATCTGAGGATTGATTAAAACCAGCCGGGGCAAGAAAGTTTGTGAAACATTAATCTCCAATTAACCACAGAAAACCAGAACTGGTGCTGTGGCTCAAAGTAGTAGAGCACTGGCCTGAGCAAAAAAGCTCAGAGACAGTCCCAGGTCCTGAGTTCAAGCCCCATGACTGACCAAAAAAATAAAGACACCTTAAGATCCAATGAATCTTAAAGAGAAATAGTTGAACTTACATGCATTATTCTGTAAAATGGAGACCAGGCAGATTTTCAGTGGAGAATAATCCATACATTTGTACTGTTGCTTAGGAAATCAGTAGATTATATTTGAGAAATGAATAGGACATAGGCTGGCCATTTGAGGTAGAGTCTCTCCCTAATTTACTTACTCTGAGAGTAATGTATTTATTATTATTTTTTATTTTTTTTATTGGGCGTGGGGCTTGAACTCTGGGCTTGGGTGCTGTCCCTCAGCTCTTCAGCTCAAGGTGAGTGCCCTATACCGCTTGAGCCACAGCACCACTTCCATTTTTCTAGTGGTTTATTAGAGATAAGAGTCTCAAAGACTTTCCTGCCAGGGCTGTCTTTGAACTCCATCCTCAGATCTCAGCCTCCTGAGTAGCTAGGATTACAGGCGTGAGCTACTGGTGCCCTGCTGTATTTATTAATTTTTGTGCTGGTACTGGGGCTTGAACTCAGGGCCCTCCCACTTGAGAGTTTATTTAGTAAAGAGAAAATAAAGACTACTCAGGAGAGTGAGCAGTTTGAACCCAGTGGGACCCAGAAACTGTTCACTGATTATCCACTGCATGGTCAGGGACTGTTGTGTATTGTCTGCCTCTCCCCACCTTTTCCTCCCTCCCTCTTGGCAGTTTGTGAGATGGTGATTGGTTTGTTTCAAACAAGCCAGATCATCCCCTGGGTAGTGGCTACCAGATTGGGATGGAGGGGGCAAACTGGCCTGGACCAGTTGTCCGATGTTTTCCTTCATTTCCTCCCTTTGAAGTTTCCCTGACTGCTGTCGGGAGTGTTCAGCTCTGTTCTGGCTACTTCCTGCTGAATGGGGGTGACAAAGGGGTCCCTGACAGCTGCCGGAAGAGACTTGGAACCCAGGGACTTTAAAGCAGCTGTAGTGATGCCAGTACTTAGTGTTAGTTTTTATATCTTACTATATTTTTATTGTATATGTTTTATCATATTCTATTTTATTTTTCATATCTTTTTTGTAGTTTGACCTAATTTAGGTGAGAGAGCACAAACTTAGTGATTTAAACACATAAGGACTCAGGCTTTAGCTGTGTTTTCGTTCAAGTTTGAGCCTCATGAGTTTTGCTGGTTAATTGGGGATGAGTTTCACAGATTTGTCAGTGAAACTCTCAGATCTAGCCTCTTCAGTAGCTAGGATTATAGATGTGGGCCACAGCACCTGGCTGTGACCAGATCTTATTGATCTGGTTGGCAACATACATCATAAAATTTAATTCTAGTTTATTCATTTTGTTTGTTTGTTTTTGGTTGGTTGTGGGGCTTGAAGTCTAGGCCTGGGCACTGTCTCTGAACTCTTCATTCAGCTCAAGGCTAGCACTCTACCACTTGAGCCGCACCACTTCCAGCCTTTTCTGCTTATGTGGTGCTGAAGAATCAAACCCAGGGCCTCATGTATGAGAGGCAAGCACTCTACCACTGAGCCACCTTCCCAGCCCCTGTCATTCATTTGTAATCCTAAAATAATGGTCATTGAACAAAGAGGGTAGAAAAATTCTGATTCTGTGCTTTGAGCATGTTAACATGGAAGAAATAGTTACCTTTTAGTTTGTGTAATACCATGATAAAGTCAGGCACAAGTAGAACTTAAATTTCCTTGAATCACTTTTTTTTTTTTTTTTTTGCTCTTAAATCTCAGCCATGTAATTACTTAATTTCCTATGTAAAAAGGCTCACTTGCTATATGAATTTATTTTTTGTTTTTTTATTTTTGGTCAGTCGTGGGGCTTGAACTTGGGGCCTGGGCACTGACCCTGAGCTCTTTTACTCAAGGCTAGATAGAGCTCTACCACTTTGAGCCTCATCTCTACTTGGAGTTTTCTGGTGAATTGGAGTCTCATGGACTTCCTGCCCAGGCTGGCTTTGAACCACAATTCTCAGATTTTAGCCTCCCGAGAGTAGCTAGGATTGCAGGGGTGAGCCACTAGACCTGCCTCATCATAAGTTTATTTCTTTGTCTAATCATTGAGAAAATGAGCTGTCAAATGCTGAAAAGCTTTGTGTTTGGTTTCCTTAGACCCCGGCACTCATTGAGCAGCCTTGCCACAGCAGTAAAGGAGATTGAGGAGATCCCTGCCTACCTCCCCAATGGGGCAGTCCTGAAGGATTCAGTGCAGAGAGCCCGGGACTGGCTGCAGGATGCAGAGGCACTGCAGGTTGGTTTTAAAGATGCTGGGTGTGTGCCCTGGGTGTGTGCGTCAGGCTTTGGAAAGCTGTAAGGGTGTTAGGGCGGTTCTCTCTCTTCTCACCACACACATCTAGTGTTTTTGGAGTTGTGAATTCTTTTCAGCCTTTTGGAGGCATTTGGAAGCTATATTCTGATGAGTTGCCCAGATATTTAAAAGCATAGATCATTGAACCCTCCTTTCAGGGGGGATGGGGATTTCTTCTTGCTTGCACATTGAAGGAAAATAGCCAAAACTGAAGTTGTGAGAGAAGATATACTTTTGTTGTTGTTGGTCATAGGGCTTGAACTCTGGGCCTGAATGCTGCCCCTCAGCTCTTCAGCTCAAGGCTAGCACTCTACCACTTGAGACACAGCTCCACATCCAGCTTTTTGCTAGTTAGAGATAAAAGTCTCAACAGACTTTTCTGCCCGGGCTGGCTTTGAACCATGATCCTCAGATCTCAGCCTCCTGAGTAGCTAGGATTATAGGCGTGAGCCACTATAAGATAAACTTTTTATTTTTTATTTTATGTTATTTTATTTTTTTTGGGTTTTTTTTTTGGGGGGGTTTTTTTTTTTTTGGGTCCGGTCGTGGGGCCTGAACTCTGGGCCTGGGCACTGTCCATCAGCTCTTCAGCTCAAGGCTAGTGCTCTACCACTTGAGCCACAGCACCACTTCCGGCTTTTTTCTCTTTGCTTATGTGGTGCTGAGGAATTGAACCCAGGGCCTCAGGCATGCAAGGCAAGCACTCTACCACTGAGCCACCTTCCCAGCCCCCAAGATAAACTTTTTAAAACTCTGTTATTTGTTTTTTGTTGATAGATCAAATTGGAGGGTCAATCAAGAGTAGTAGGCACAGTAACTCTGTGTATGATAATATGGCTAAACTAGGCCTTGTAGCAGGCCCAGACTTTTCATTAAGTATGTTTTTTGTTGATAGATCAAGTTGGAGGGTCAATCAAGAGTAGTAGGCACAGTAACTCTGTGTATGATAATATGGCTAAACTAGGCCTTGTAGCAGGCCCAGACTTTTCATTAAGTAGTAACTTAAAAGTGACCTCCCAACTGTTCAGAAAAGGAAGCTTAGCAAATTTTACAGTAATATTGAGTGTGCTTTGTCATGCAATATTTGTGACATTTTGTCTGATGTTATACTAAGTGACTTGCATGTAAGTTTAAAAAGAGAATTAAATTCACTTGTAGCATTATTTAGGTACAGATACTGGGGCTTGACTCAGGGCTGGTACATTGTCCTTTTCACTCAAGACTGACACCATTTGAGTCATGGTTCTAGTTCTGGCTTTTTGTTTGATGGTTAATTGGAGATAAAAGTTTCACAGACTTTTCTGTCTGGGGCTAGCTTTGAACCAGGATCCTTAGATCTCAGCCACCTAAGTAAGTAATAGGATGATAGGCCCAAGTCCCCCTTCGAGCCACCCCATGTTGTTTTTCTAATCCACTACATGTTACACCAAATTAGTATATCTCCTTTAAGTTTCTTTTAAACTGTACCCTCTTCTCTTCCTCCTTCTATTGTCTAAAATTGTTATTCTGTGGTATGTATTCTACCTTTTGGAATTGTCTGGTTAGTGTTTCTCATTGGAGTTAGTTTCAAAGCCTATTAGAGTCAATAGTTAAATATGAATTCAGTAGTTAGTAGTGGATTCAGGTTGAATATGTTGGATGAAACAGATCTAGAGTTGGGCAGTATTGTTTACATCAACCCGGAGACGGTTCTGGATGACCTCCTCTCCCCCTTAGTGCTGCTGTTTGTCCACTGTGTTAGAGCAACACTGGGGAATTTTTTCCCCTGTAACATATAGTGCCTTTATTCTCATTTCCATTGGCCTTTATTCTCAAATTCCTGCAGCACAACTAGCAGTAGCATCACCTAGGAAATTTTAAAAGTTGCACATTTATGGACCCATCCCCTGACCTACTGAGTCAGAAAGAACCCGGGAATGGTTTTAAAGCTTTTTGGGTGGCTGGGCCTTCTCAGTTCAGTTTCCTGAATGACTTATACTGTTACTGTATTATTGGTGAATGTGTGGAAGTAGCTCCAGGTATCCTGGAACTTTTGGGCCTCCTGCCTTAGCTTCTTCTGGGTGCTGGCATTATAGACAAGTGAGGTGAGTGGATTTAATGAAGGACCCGTCGTGCCCCCTGTGAGGGCGAGGTTCTCTTGCTGTAAGGGGAACAGTGTTGCAATCTGAATTGGTCCATTGCTCACTGCATTTTTTTTTTCCTAAATGGTTTAATTTTTTCTAATTTACCAGGCTGGAGGACGGGTGCCAGTGTTAGACACACTTGTGGAACTTGTTGCAAGAGGCCGAGCAATCCCAGTACATCTGAATTCTCTGCCAAGGCTGGAATTATTGGTAGCTGAAGTCCACGTTTGGAAAGAATGTGCCGCGAATACATTCTTGACTGAGAATTCTCCATATTCTCTCTTAGAGGTAAGTTTGCCACCCGTTCTTCTTCAAAAACTTAGATCTTCAAGTTTGGAAAAACACGCAGGTCATCTCAGGCAGGTGGCATCTTGCTGAGTCTGTGCTCTGTGAGTTGGTACAGCAACCTTTAAATGTTTTCTGGATGTATTTTAGGATATATGCACTATTGAAAGAGTATATTTTTTCCTATTAGGTGAAGTTGAACTTAGGTGAAATTGATTAATGCTTAGCCTTGTTTCACTATACCTGGCTTTAGCCTGATTGATACATGCTCCCGTCCACCTTTCATAAAATGCTTTAGCCGTACCTTTTATGGGGTGGAAGGGGTGGTACTGGGGTTTGAAGTCGTCAGGCCTTGTATACTTGCCCTGAGCTACAGTTTCAGCCCTTTTTGCTTTAGGTTTTCCAAGTATTGTTTAACATTGCTGTCTCACTACCTTCAGACTATCATCCTTCTACCTGCACCTCCTACATTGCAGGGATTACAGACATGGACTACTAAGCTCAACTCTGGCTGCATTTTTTTGTATTTTCTATAAATGAAGGTAGTTCTTAAGCATTTTTATCACTGAGAACAGGCAGGCCTGCCTGCTTGCTTGCTTTCCATTCTTCCTCTTTTCCTTCTTCCCTCCTTCCTAGTCTTGCAGCCTCAGGGCTACAAGTTTCAGAGAAAAAGTTGTTCAGGTACATACACCTGTCATGCCCTTGGGCTTTTGTGTTGTTTTATGTGAAATTGACTTTACTAATGGTTGTACTTTGCCCTACATTAGGTGCTGTGTCCTCGTTGTGATATTGGCCTTTTGGGATTGAAAAGAAAGCAGAGAAAGTTAAAAGAGCCCTTGCCAAATGGGAAGAAGAAAAGCACCAAATTAGAGAGTCTGAGTGACCTGGAGAGAGCTTTAATGGAAAGCAAAGAGACTGCTTCAGCTGTGCGTAGTAGGAACTTTTTCTTCTCACTTCTCTTTTGTTGGGGAAGAATTTCAAATCCTTTGGCTTTATTAGGAATATTGGAAAGGAAAATAGGATGATTTTTAAAAGTGTAATCGATTTAAATGAGAGATGCCAGGACTAGTGGGGTAGAGCTCAGTGGTAGAACACTTGCACTGCGTTCCCAAGGCCCTGGGTTCAGTCTCCAGCAACGAGAAATTGAAATGAATGAATGATGATATACCCTTAGTACTGGATGTGGTGGCACACACCTCTGATCCCAGCGCTTGGAGTTTCAGCGGGAGGTTAGATTGTGAGACCTTGAATAGATGTGGGAGTGGATTCTTGTGAGTGGTAACACAATTGGTTGAATGCACCATGTTCAAGAATTGAGGCCTTATTGATCAAGCACAGTGTCAGGGAAGATAAAAACAGCAATAGTTGTGTGATTTTCTTTGGTTTTGACGTGAGGTTTTGAATGTTTCTAATGACACAGCATTGCCTGTTGTAGAGTAAGAATACAGTCTGTGGTACATAATGACAGGATGAAGCTAGGACATGTATCCCTGAGTGTTGTGTCACCATACGAGCATCGTGGAATGCACTTGCACAGCCGGCCTGGACACAGTGTAGTAGATGGTGGTGGTTGTATGCCTGGTCCACGTGCCTGTAGATAGAACTAAGGTGAATGGTTTCATTCTTAGGCTGGGATACCTTTTCCCCATGTGTTCTTTTGCCATTGCCTGCCCTCTTGTGATGACATGGATTCACTTTCATTCATACATGTACTCATAACTTTATCTTGTACCTTTTGGAGTACACTTGTATATCTCTAACAGAAATGTACACCACTCTGGGATTTTAGATTTTTAATTTTTTTTTTTTTTTTTGTGCCCATCCTGGGGCTTGAACTCAGAGCCTGCATGCTGCTCCTGAGCTTTTGTGCTCAAGACTAACTCTCTGTCACTTGAGTCACAGCTCCACGGCTGGCTTTTTGGTGGCTAATTGGAGGTAAGAGCCTCATAGATTTTCCTGTCCCAGCTGGCTTTGAACTGAGATCCTCAGATCTCAGCCTCCTGTGTAGCTAGGATTACAGGTGTGAGCTACCAGTACCTGGGATTTTTAATGTAGCTACTATGATTCATTTTTAAAAGATGAATTGAGAGTTATAGTTCCTCTCCCTTAAAATACACATATATGTCTGTCTGAAACCTTGCCATATGGTACTTTTCAAAGTTTCTAATCAGTGCCTACTTAGTATATGGGTATTTGGTTTAAGAACTTGATTTTGATTATGGTAGAACCCTCTAAGGTTTATTTTCTATTTCTGAGCTCTGGGAAGAGGTACCTTGTTATCAATAATCCATATATTACTGAAGATTACATTCATCTATTAAAAATAAGTAAATTTTATTTTACTGTACCAAACATTTGTTACTGATTTACTTGTAGATCTTTCAGGTTGTCCCCAAATCCCTTATTTATACATTTTCCTCCCCCAATCCAAAAAACAGATAACGGAGAATTCATTCTGGCCTTCACACAGGGTGAAGTTGGATCTAAAGGTGGCAGATATGATCAAACTGTGGCAAATGAATGTTTTGATCATTTGGAAAAGGAAAATAAGTTCTACAAACCTGTAATGTTTGTTTCTGGAGAGAACAGTTCTGAAAAACGCATCCTCCCGTGGATTTGTTCTCTCTCAGTGGTGTGTCAGGAAGGCTTCATTGTCCAGCTTTCTGTTGGCTGTCCATGGAATTACGCTGAGCATTAAGTTCAGGGTGGAGGGCTGTTTGAGTCTGCCACCTCTTGAGTGCTTTTACTTCATGGCACATAACGAATAAGAAATGTTGGCCTGCTTATTTACTGCATGCCTTGTATGTGTAGTAGGTGCTTAGTCTGCATATGTCATAATTCTGTTTATGTACTGCTTGCAAATGGTGTTTAGAGAAATATGTTCAGTATCACTCCAGATTATGACTATACATGATTCTGTTTATGGGTGTCTGTGGGTGCTTTTAAGTTATTCATTCAGGTTGAGCTCAGTGCTTTCCTGGGACTCGCCTCTCTTCAATAAAAAAGGAATAAATGCTTTACACATGAGTACATTGCGGCTCTGCACTGGAGGGCCACACAGCAGAGGACTTGCCTCTTTGCCTTTGTACTAACAGTCTCATTGTGTGTGTGTGTTTGTGTGTGTGTGTGTGTGTGTGTGTGTGTGTGTGTGTGAAGGGGTGGGGGTGAGAATATATGAGTGTGAATACCTGGTAAAGTGGTTTCATAACCATCCATCTCACTACCTGTGGTGTGGAAAAGAAGGCCTGTAGAGGTGCAGAGCACCTGGAGAAGCGGGCTACATGTGTAGTGCCTACTCTAGGAGACTTTCTATCTGAAGTACTTTCTACACGAATGCAGACACTAGTGGAACTGAAAACAAGTGGAGGGGCAAAAGCAAAGAACCAAATGCCTGCAAATTTCCTAGCTAGGAGATGGCTGCGTGCAATGCCGTGCTGTAGGCTGAGCAGGCCCTCTCACGGTTACTGTGCCAGACCCAGCGAGTTCTGCTGGCCTCACGGTGCAGGCACGCGAGGTTGTCAGCCCTGGTGTGTGCATGTGGCGATCCAGCCATGGTTAGTGTGAGCTGGAGCCAGCTGAGCCCCTACTCTGAAGCTGGCATGGAGTTTGGGGGCGGCTGAGATGTCTGTGGCACGTTGTTGACAAGTCACCTCCCTTCCAGATGGCAGCGCTCGGGGAGGCTCGCCTGAAGGAAATGGAGGCTCTGCAGTCGCTCAGGCTTGCCAACGAAGGGAAGCTGCTCTCGCCTGCCCAAGACGTGGAGGTGAAAGTGTGTCTGTGTCAGAAGGCCCCGGCCACTCCGATGATCCAGTGTGAACTCTGCCGAGATGCTTTCCACACAAGTTGTGTGGCGGCGCCCAGCACCCTGCAAAGCCCCCGCATCTGGCTTTGTCCCCATTGTCGGCGGTCGGAGAAGCCCCCATTAGAGAAAATCCTGCCCCTGCTGGCCTCCCTGCAGCGCATCCGAGTCCGCCTCCCCGAGGGAGATGCACTTCGGTACATGATCGAAAGAACCGTGAACTGGCAGCGCAGAGCCCAGCAGCTGCTTTCGTCAGGGAATCTCAGATTTGTGCCGGACCGTGTGGGCTCAGGACTGTTGTACAGCAGATGGCAGGCCTCCGCAGGACAGGGATCAGAGACCAACAAGGTGAGCCTGGACTTCGCGGGTCCTTGGCGCCTGCCCAGCTCTGAGCCCGTAGCTGTCTGGTGTGGCTCTTCCCTTGGTGGTACAGCTGCCATCACCATCGCCTGTCTCTCTTCCCACCTGCAGGCCGTGCAGGGCCGTCGTGGCCGATGGCTTCCTTTGCTCTTGGGTTCTGTCGCTATGGAGTGCATGCTCGCCATCTGATATGGACAAGTCACTTCCTTGTTTATATTTGTGTTAACCTATAGATGTATTTTCTTTTTTTTTTTGGTCAGTTGTGAGGCTTGAACTCAGCCTGGGTGCTGTCCCTCAGCTCTTCAGCTCAAGGCTAGCGCTCTACCACTTGGGCCACCGTGCCACTTCTGGTTTTCTAGTGGTTTATTGGAGATAAGAATCTCACGGACTTTCCTACCTGGGCTGGCTTTGAATTGTGATCCTCAGCTCTCACCTCCTGAGTAGCTAGGATGACAGGTGTGGGCCACCAGTGCCTGGCTATATTTTCAAGTTCCACTTGTCTGAACTTCTTTTTCCCTTTCTTGCCCTCACGTAAGTCACTAGAGGGACACAGCTTCCTGCCTTCAGTGTTCTTAGCCTTTGAAGATTAATCTTTGGGAGGGTTGGAGTCCTGTGTTTCTTCAGAGCAAAAGGTTTGGGTTTCTGTGGTTCTTCTCCTGGGACAGTGGGCAGTTTCTGTTTTTTTTTATCCATGACTGTAGGGAAAGAATGTGAAAAGCACAATGAGGACAGTATATTCAGTCTTTTTAGGTTGATATTCAGTTGTTTGTTTTCCAGTCCTGGGGTTTGAACTCAGGACCTGGGCATTGCCCCTGAGCTTTTCTGCTCAGGGCTAGCACTCTACCACAGCTCTGCTTCTAGCATTTTTTTTTTTTTTTTGATAGCTAATTAGAGGTCAGAGTCTCATGGACTTTCCTACCCTGGCTGGCTTCAAACTGCATTTCTCAGATCTAAGCCTCCTGAGTAGCTAGGATTGTGGTGTGAGCCACTGGGACCCAGCTGATTAATCAGTTTTAGTTTTTAATAAGCTGGGCATACACATATCTATAATCCCAGCTACAAGGGAGGCATTGGTCACTTGAGCCTAGGCTGGTCATCTCAAAAGAAAAGACAACTCCTCAAAATTTTAGGCTGGAGATTTACTCCAGTGGGAAGCACTTGCCTAGCATGTGTTCTGCCCTTTGTTCAAAACAGCACTATCTAGAAGAGGAGAAGGAGAGGAATTAGGCACAGCTCTAAAGGACCGAACAGTGGCCTCTGTCATATTTCTTGCCAGGCTTCTGGAAATAAAATGCTTTGCTGTGATACATAACAGATGATCGATTAACTATTTGCTGCATCGATGAGTTGTGGCTGTTTGGGCAGCCCACAGCAAGTCTTATTGTCTTTGCCCAGGGTATTAGCCTTTATGAGTAAAGGGAAAGGATACAATTGTTAACTGATCGAGAGTCAGAGAAGTGTTCCTCTGATTCCTTTAATAAAACACTAAGAAAATGGGAGGAGTTGTTTGTATGATTTCTTTTTTCTTAAAGATTTTTTTATTTAAGTAGGTGTACAAAGAAGTTCCCATTCTACAAAACAGTTTATTCTAGCTTCTTGTTTGGTTTACTCAAAAGGGTACTGCCTAGGTTCTCATTATAACCTCTAATAAGGATAAAAAGGTTATGATCTGTTAGTACACAAAGAAAAAATGGCTTATTTCCCAGTAGTCTTTGCTTCTCTGAAGTCAATCCAAGTAAAGCTGGGAAGATTAAAAGCCTGGTGTTAATTTGGCCAGTTCTCAGATGCCAGGGGACTTACTTCCATTGGGGATAGCAAGTATTTTTCCTAGTTGCTTGTTACTTTTGGTGGGCTGGTAGGAGCCTGTTCAATCCTTCAAAAAAAAAAAAAAAAAGCTTTGTTAGAAATTTTTTTTTTTTCCCCATTAGGTTTCTCAACCTCCTGGCACAACGTCCTTTTCCTTGCCTGAAGATTGGGACAACAGAACCTCATATTTACACTCTCCCTTCTCCACTGGACAGAGTTGTGTCCCCCTCCACGGTTTGTATTTTATCAATACTGCGGTCTTGCAGGTCCAATAATAATAGGTTGTCTCTGTCATAAATGATCTGGGTACCAAAGTACGTTATCCTTAAATGCAGGACATGGGTCAGTGTGCATTTGCTACACAGGGAAATGATAAGTTCCTATTTGAAGATTGGCAAATGCAAAAGAAAAGAGAAAAACCTTGTCCCTTGTGTTCAGGGATGAAAGGACTCATCTATGACATCTAAGTGTGATACTAAGTCATGGGCTCCCTTGTTTCAATTCTTTCTTCTTTCTTGTTTTTGATGCCAGTCCTGGGTCTTGAACTCAGGGCCTGGGCACAGTCAGTGAGCTTTTTTTTTTTTTTCCCGCTCAAGACTAATATTGTACCACTTGAGCCACAAATCCACGTCTGGCTTGTTGGTGGTTAATTGGAGATGAGAGTATTGGGACTTTTCTGCCTGGGCTGGCTGTGAACCCGAATCTTTGGATCTCAGCCTCCTGAGTAGCTGGGATTACAGGTGTGAATCACTGGTGCCTAGCTTTGTTGTTTCAATTCAATTTTTGAGTGGTGCACACCTATCCTGTCTATGTAGGAAGCATAAATAGGTAGACAGTTGCTAGGCCTGCCTGGACATACACTTGAGACCCTATTTTAAAAATGAAGATAGATAGAAAGGGCCAGGGGCATGGCTTAATTGTGGTAGAGCATCTGCCTAGCCAAGTACCAGGTCCTGAGTTCAACCCCCAGTACTACTAAAAACACACAAAACAAGGCGATAGTCTTGTAGAGGATCTTGGCACGTTTGAAGCCTACCTCCTTTTTTCTTACCAATAAATGACACTCCATGAGTTTTGGCTAAAGCTTCGAGGTGCTTGCTCCTCAGCCATTCCTTTTCAGTGTGGGCCGAGTCATGTGGTCAGAATTCCTGCCCTGAGTGCCAGCTTTGTTCTGTGCATTCAAGTAAAAGTTGTCATGGCAGCAGACACTATCTCCTGCACCCATAATAAGCAGGGAGAAATTCTAGTGGAATGAATACATACCCAGTAAACAGGGGTCTTAGGAATTGTAGTTTGGGGTGTGTGTGTGAGTTGTATTGTGTCTCTAGGTACATTGAATGAACCTAACTTGGACTGCATGCAGTTTAAGAAAGAGCAAGTGGAAGTAGGGGAGGGGGCATTCCTTCTGTGTGTGCCCCGGCATTTCCCACACTGATGTGCTTGTGTGAAGCACGCTTTGCGGTCATCACTTTGATGGGTCTGGTCTTCCACAGGCATCAGTCCAGAAGTGAATGAGCTGTTGATGGAAGCCCAGCTGCTCCAGGTATCCCTTCCTGAAATTCAGGAACTTTACCAGACTTTACTTGCAAAGCCAAGCCCTGCTCAGCAAGCTGACCACAGCTCACCTGTTAGACCCAGCAATGAGAAGGTGAGTGAGGGGAGGCGGAGCCTGTGGCTGGGCCATGTGGTGTTTCTCCATCCCAGTGGTTTGGTGTAGAAGATGGCTTGGTGTCCTTGATCCAGGAAAGATGCAAACTGGATATCACTTCAGCAGGATTCATTCACAGCCTGGATTTGAGTTCTAAGTTACGTGAATTTTTATTTGCTTTTTAGTTAGTCAGGTAACCTCATTCCCATGGAATAGTATTGAGATGTAAGATTAGATGTAAGATTATTAAGAGAAATACTGCATAGGTGAAAATGTAATAGCTGGGTGCTTGCTGGTGGCTCATGCCTATGGTTCTAACACTTGGAAGGCTCAGAGCAGAAGGATTGAACTTTGAGGCCAGCCCAGGTAGAAGAGTTGGTGAGATCATATCTCAGAAATAACCAGCAGAAACAGGGCTGGGTTGGAGGTGTGGCTCAATTAACAACGCCATTTTAAAACTAATTAAAAGCAGCCCTAAATTAAAACCTTCATATACCAAAAAGAAAGAAAAGAAAATGTAACTTTAGGGGCTGGGAAGGTGGCTCAGTGGTAGAGTGCTTGCCTTGCATGCCTGAGGCCCTGGGTTCGATTCCTCAGCACCACATAAGCAAAAAGAAGAAAGCCAGAAGTGGTGCTGTGGCTCAAGTAGTAGAGCGCTAGCCTTGAGCTGAAGAGCTGAGGGACAGCGCCCAGGCCCAGAGTTCAGGCCCCACGACCGGACCAAAAAAAAAGTAACTTTATCCGGAAGGACCTTCAATTGTTTTTAAAAAATGTCAAAAATCAAACATATTCTATATAGAGCAAATAAATGCATGTTATTCTTCTAAACCTAAGAAGAGGACAGCCAGTGGGAGTGAAGGTTGAGAATGCCTGTCTTGAAGCTGACCTTATTGATAAGTGCTTGTGTAAAGTCCTTAGCACAGCTAAGGGTACTGGACCCGCCTCACTTTAGTGATCCTACCCACCCATCCCCTTGAATGGCTGTGAGAATATAGAATAGGATAGAAAGTCTAGGAAGGATGAAGCCATGTCAGAGGAGATGCTCATGAAAGGCAATGCAGCATTTACAATGTTTTCCATTGCAATTCCAAATGGTGTCGTGCAGGAGATGACTGTAACTGTTGAGCAGCATGCTTTCTCCTATCGAGCTGTGTCTATATGTACATAAGGAGCACCATTGTGTATCTCCTCAGGACCCTGTAGGTCACAGAGGGACATAAACACTTAAGGTAGAAACTGTGCATTTAGGGGCTAGGAAGGTGGCTCAGTGGTAGAGCACTGGCCTAGCATGCATGGAAGCCCTGAGTTCCATTCCTCAGTACCACATAAAAACAGAAAAAGCCAGATGTGATGCTGTGGTTCAAGTAGTAGAGGGCTAGTCTTGAGCAATAGAAACTGAAGGACAGTGCCCAGGCTCTGAGTTCAAGCCCCAGGACTGGCAAAAAAAAAGAAAGAAAGAAAGAGAAGCTGTGCATTTACTCATGGATTTGGTGAGAAGATCTGTGAGCATGTTTCACGCTCTGGCAGGTGAATCTCAAGAGAGTAAACTTAGCAGTAGGACCTGGGCGCAGGTGCGTTGGCGCTGTGGGCCATTTCTCATTCTCTTTAGGGTTGCCAGTGTAGCAGGAGGCAAAGTAGGCTGCAGTGGAGTTTGTTCGTCTTCTCCCCCCAGAACGACTGCTGCCGAGGGAAACGTGAGGGAACTGCCAGTCTCGAGAGAAAACTGAAGAGACGCCTGGAAAGAGAAGATCTCTCCAGTGAGCCCTGGGAGCGAGTGAAAAAAACGCGGACCCCCAAAAAGAAGAAAATCAAACTGAGCCACCCCAAGGACATGAACAATTTCAAATTAGAGAGAGAGCGTAGCTATGAATTAGTCCGTTCTACTGAAACTCATTCCCTGGCCTCAGACACATCCTATTCTGAGCAGGAGGACTCTGAGGACGAAGATGCCATCTGCCCCGCGGTGAGCTGCCTGCAGCCAGAAGGAGACGAGGTCAGTGAGGTTTGGGCCGTAGAGGACATGCTTCCCCTTAACTGACTCCCTGTAAGCTAGACCTCGCCTCACTGGGTCTTTCTCTCCTGCTTGTCTGCTTTGTGCCGATCTGAGCGGACTGCTCCGCCTCCCCCACTGATCTCTGCTCTTAACCACCGTTCCTGGGTCTCATCCCTTCTCTTGAAGAAACTCTCGTTCTTCCCTTTTTCCTTCTCTCGCTCCTCCAGCTTTCACCATCCCGGCGCTATGAAGGTGGGAGGGATGCAGAGGCAGTGCCTAAGTTTATGCGTACTGCCACTGACTGCAGCTCTCAGCCCAAAGCAGTCACGACTTGGAGAATGACTTTGACTCGGTTGCTTTGGCTGGTGGGCCAGCCATGCTCGTGTGGCTTAGCTGCAGTGCCCGAGGTCCCAGTGGTGGGCCCGTGGCTGTTAGTGGCAAACGGCCTGAATTTCTCGAGGCTGCCCTGCCCACGTGTGAATGGCATTTTTTCCTCTGAACCCCCCATCTCCTGCTCTTTGTAACCAGGTGGACTGGGTCCAGTGTGATGGCAGCTGCAATCGGTGGTTTCACCAGGTCTGTGTTGGTGTTTCTCCAGAGATGGCAGAGAAGGAAGACTACGTCTGTGTGCGCTGCACTGGGAAGGACGCCCCAAGCCGAAAGTAAAAACAAAACAAATGCCCCCCAGGGTAATTCAGGACTCCAGCCAGGAGGATCTCCTCAGATCTCAGCAAAGCTACAGGACTGGTGCTAGGCCAGCCTGTACACGGTGCTATTTCTATTCCTACGGGATCATTTTTCCAGAACTCTTTGAAAAAAAGAAAAAAAAAAACAACTAAAAAATTTTTGACACTTTTTGTATTTTTTCCTTGAGAGCTGTTTGTGGTGTTGGGTGACACGCAGATGTTTCGGAAGGGTCTGTCTCGTCCGTTGGGAAGGCATCGGAGCCAGCGCCTTTTCCTGTACAGCGCTGAGGAGGTGCCTCCGTGTGGGGTTTACCGGCCTACGAGTCCAACTCGCCAGAGGGGCCCCAGAAACTCCAGTAACCCCTCGTTGGAGGAATCTTTCTCATTTACTCTGTTACTACATCGGGGATTTTAAGTTGTTCACTTTTGGGGGTTTTGTTTGTTTCTTTCTTTATCCACTTTTCTTTTCTCTGGTAGACTTAGGTTTATTTATCTGAGCAATAACTTCTATGTTGGTTTCAGTGGCTGGAATTAAAACAAAAACAAAACAAACTCCCGAACAGTGTGTTGGTGCTTTAGCCTGGGCTCATGGACAGAAGGCAGATGTCTAGTTTCTGGTGTCACTGATGCACTGTGACGTAAAGAGGATGGACTGAGCTGTAAGTCATCGCCACGGCTGTATTTTGGCTTTTGCCCTGCCCATTTCTTCCTCTCCTACTTTTTTGGTAGCTTGTATCAAATGTTGCGTTTATATTGTGGAATAAATCCTTGGTCCTAATATAACACTACATGTTGGTTATTTAGAGCCAGAGACCACAGCTGCCCCGCCCTGGTCTCTCTGCCGCTTCTGCGCAGGAAGGCTGCAGACACGGTGAGGGGCCCGCGCCTGCCCTTCCAGGTGGGCCACAGGCCTCCCAGTGCGCTGATGAAGGCCTGCTAGGCTCAAAAACGAGAACCTGCTTTTAAAACCGTGCTCTCTTCCAGTCCTGCAGTCAGCCCTCCTGTGAACGGGATTCCTTCATTACATTTGAAATGACAGGAAACTTGGTGTATGAAGGATTTTCTTCTTCGTGGGGTCAGTGGTTATGTGTCTGGTAGGACTCCCTGCTAGCCCTGCCTCTCCAGCTCCGTCATCCTGCTGCTCACACTGCTCGGGGACAGCAGTGGAGCTGCCGAGGGATGCCTCCTCCTCTTCTGAAATAGCTCAGCTCTGCAGTACAGAAGACATCTTGGCGATTGAAGACTCTTGCTTCCTTTTTCCTACTCCTAGTCATACTCTTGTTTATTTTCCCTCCATTCTACATCTGTAAACCAGACAGTGGCAGAACAACAAAAGTAGTAAGGAGTTAAGTGGTGTGGCAGAGACTCACTCTACAGCTCCTTCCATGCCGTTGAGATCATGCAGGTTCCACAGGGACGGGTCCTGCTCACCTGCGGTAGTTGTGGTGTTTTGCCCTGGCCAGTGGGGTTTCTGGGGCCAGATGGAAAGAGCAATCTTCAGTGCACAATGAAGCCTTTAAAAACCCCAGATTCTGAGCCCCACCCCCCAGGAACGGAGTAGTGCGCCTCTGTTCCTGTCTTCGCCATCCACTGAGAAAAGCCTCACAGTCCATAAGCTTCAAAGGGCCCCGTGGGGCTGTGTGTGCAGCGCACCAGAGTGCATGTCCAGGCACGAGCTTTCAACCCCTAGGCCATAAAACAAACAAAGCCTTTGCCTGCGATGGAGTCTCACCTGTCTAGAGGAGTTTCATCCTCTACCCCAGCTTTCCTCCTCCCTGCATGGGTTGTGCCTAGTCCTTGGCTGTAGCAGCGTGGACAAAGCTTTGTACATGGGTTGATGCTGAAGTTGAGTTAGTTGCCCAGAATTACATTGCTGGTGAATGACAAAGCCTGGGCATTCACTTCTAGTTCACCCTACCCTTGTGCGCTGTCAGGTGCACAGGTACCATTTGCTCTCCATCTTAGGCTTTCTGTTTTATAGCCAACATGACTGCAGACCAGTGTAGTTGACCAAAAATGGCCTCTCGTGGTGTGAGCTGTGAAGCAGGGCTGTGCCCTACACAGACCCTTGAAGTGTGGGAGAAGATGAGCCATACAGAAGCCCACTTGGGTTTCTACTTCAGTGGTCCTGCAGCTAGCTGCAACTAGCTAGCAGCTAGTCCTCTCTGAGGACTGTTCATTGCATTTCCTTCCAGATCAGATTAGGGTTTCATATGTAGACTTAAGGGCCTTGCCTGTACATAGTCACTTGGTGGGAGAAAATTTTGCAATTTCCACTAGCTGTGAAGAAGGTTGACTTGTTTGCAGCATCGATGTAGCATCCTGGAAATTGGAACTCGTTTCCATTTCAAGGTTAACCTCAAGCAGAAGTGCCACTTGTGGTGGAGGATGCTACAAACATAACTTGCCCTGGATTTTTCTGCCACAAAGAGCTTAAAAAAAAACAAAAAACAAGACCAGAGATCTTGAGGCTTTGGATCTACACTGGAAGAATTGGCCGAGATGCATCTAGTTTGCCATTATACCCACCATAAATAGCAATGTGATCTGGGTGTGGTGGCATACTCCTATAATCCCAACACCTCTGAGATCCTTAAGGCAGGTGGGTCTCGAGTTTGAGTCCAGCCCAGGTAAAAAGGCAGTGAGCCTGTCTCAAAAGCAAAATGGCTGGTACCTACATAGCTCAAGTGGTTGGATGCTTGCCTAGTATGCGTGAAACCTTTGTCCAGTCCCCAGTACTTTTATTTTCCATCAGCTAAAGCCAGACTTCATGTATGTCTGCAGTCTCAGCACTGGGGAGGCGGGGGCAAGACAAGTTCAAGGCTGCCCTGAGATACATAGTGACACTTCCATCTCTAAATATGAATGAATGAATGAACAAAAGGGACACAATGTGATCTGTTGGGCATTAGTTACTTTATAAATAGATGTGGACAGGGCTTCTCTTCATGATACTGAAGGCAATGTGCTCCTTTTGTAGTGGTTTCTCTCATACAGGCCCCCCGTTCTCTCCCCCGACCCCCTCAATAGTTCTGATGGGTGTTTGGCAGTCTATTAAGACTTGCTTCTGGCTTGGCCTTGACTGATCTTTAGTGTCTGTGGGTTTTTCCTGGGCTTAATCCTACCTAGCTTTCTGACCATATAGCAGACTGGGATAGAGCACTGGTGCTCTGTACAACACATGACATGGGGTAGAAATTGGACATTACCTTGCGAAGCACCAAGCCAGATCTGGTCAACCACTAACGAACTGACAATAGCTAGTCTGGGCTAGATGCCAGCCTCTATTAAACGAATTTTCCCCTAGTCCTGGGCTGAGGATGGGGCTCAATGGTGTACAGCACTGGCCTAGCACCATGAAGTCCTGGATTCCACTCTGGCAGTGCCAGGTGAAGAAAGGCACATTTCTTGCTGCAGCACTGCAGAAACATTGAATTGGAGGAAACGTTGGAAGAAAAGCTGGGGAAAGGCAGTGAAGATGCTGCTGTTGGCCTACGAACTGGCCTGAGGGGCAGGGCCCTGCCCTCAGCCACTGGCTGCAGAGCTCCAGAATAGGGCACGACTCCACCCGCAGCCCTTGTCCAGTGCTCTGCACAAGGTCTTCCTGGCTTTCTGCTCTGAGGTTTCATGTGTGATGAGACTGAAAAGCTGATTCAATAATAACTCTGTAACACTGTTGTAAATCCAGCCACCTTTAGGTCATAAAGAATTCACTTCTTCCAAATTTACGTGAACAAGCTGGGCCCTGATGGTTCACACCTGTAATCTTAGCTGTTCAGTAAGAGGCTGAGATCTGAGCATCACAGTTGGAAGGCAGCCTGGACAGGAAAGACTGTGCGACTCTTACCTCAATTTCCACCAAAAAGCCAGAACTGGAGCGGTGGCTCAAGTGGTAGAGTGCTGGCCTTGAGAGAAAAAAAAATCTCAGGGACAGCATCCAAGCCCCAGGACTGGCACCAAAAAATGGTTTAAAAATCACTTGCATAGAAACATGCTTTTACATTTTCATCAGTGTCAATGGGACATTCTGAAGCAGTCAACGACAGCATCCATCTCCCTGTAGGGGTTCTGGGCTAATTACACAGGGTGAGGGGCTGTGAGCTGGTGGGTTTGAATAGAATGTTCAGGCCAAACCTGCTGCCTTGTCATGGAGGGATGAAGGCTGGGATCACATGATCTGGCTCAGGTGAGTAAAGGCCAGGGCTCTTCTACTTTCCCTTCGATGAGAACAGAACTTTTAAAATGACCTTTCTGAGGGAATAAGTTATTTACTCTATTTAAAATAGAGCAAACATTGGACTGCTTGGTAAGTTGAGCCATTTCAAGTAGTGTTCCTCTGCCTGCCCTGCCTGGTGCTTTTCCACCAACTGTGGGTTGGTCAAATCCTTTTGCATGACTGGGGTGGGTGATTTGGCAGAAGCACTTGGCTTTGGCCTCCAGGCCTGTGTAGTCCTTGCTCTGGTGGAGGGCCAGGGCGTGTCCTGCACACAGGAGTTCCACCTGCGCAGCCTTGGAGCTTGCAAGCACATCTTAAGGCATGTAGGGGTGGCTATGAGAGTGTCTACTGCTTCAGGTCACGTGCTCTAGCCTGGTAGGCCTTCTAAGCTCTCAGGAGATGAGGCATGGGCTGGGGACATGGCTCAAGAGGTAAGAGTTTCTGTCTAGCAAGCTCAGAGCCCTGAGTTCAAACCTCAGTACCACCAAAAAAAAAAAAAAAGCAAAGCTGGCAGTGTCCTAATCCTCAGCCAGTTGTGGCACAGCTGGAATTGTGTTCTGGTGCTGAGTGAGCATCTCCTGTGTACGACCTTTGGTATGTAAGAAGCGAATAACTACTTCAAATATGGCAGCTAAAAAAAGCCAGGGTATAACTTGCTGGTCCTAGGAGAGGTGAGCTTAGGAGTGAGCAGGGCATCAGCCTCATTCTGAGCTACTGCTGTTGCGGGGTTTCTACAGGCTTCACAATTAACAGCGTTGGCCCTGAGGTTGGGGTACCTGCTTCACCTCTGTTGCCCCCCACACACACCCCTTCTCTTCGATTCCAGCCTGCAAGGTGGGTGAATGTGGCCAGGGATTTAACCTTCAGTTACCAGTCAGTTGTTTGGCCCTGGCTATAGATGTTTTTACTTCTTAGAGAACCCTTGAAATCTTGGGGTTGATGGCCACTCCTCAGTGGGCAAGATGCTTCAGCAATGGCTCCCTCTTCCTGACTGCGGCAGAGTGCGTGGCCAGTGCTGTTCTGTGTTCCGTGGTGGTGCCTGTCAGACCTCTTGGTACCAGCTTAGTGAGCAGAAGCAGGGGCTGGCATAAGCTTCTGGACTAGCAGAGGTCATGGTGGATGTGAGGTCTGTAGTTAATTTTGGGCCTCCAACTCTCCACTGCACCCACAGAAACTTCAAAGAGCAAAAGTGAGCTCATTGTTGAGTCAAAGGAGTGTAATGTCCTGAAGGCAAAGCTGAAGAGGAGTTGGAGAAGGAATAAGGCCAGTCTACAAGCTCAGCAGGCTGCTCATGCACTCATTCATCGCACCTCGACTTAAGGACCTCTGGCTGCCATTTCAGCCATGGACACCAGGTGGCACCATTCACATTCCATAAAGTGCCTATGGATCCTCTCGATAAATTCACGTAGGTTCAACCATCCTGTTGAAGTTGGCCAGAAGAGAAAGCCCTTGAGTGTTTACACATAGTCTTCCTTCCCCCCTCCCCACCCCCAGTTCTGTGGCTTGAATTCAGGGCCTGGGCACTTTCCCTGAGCTGCTTCTACATAAGGCTAGCACTCTA